GCTACTGCTTCTCCTGGCGTGGCCAGATGCAGCTCCAGCGCCGTCCGCGTGAGTCCCTCACCCCCCAACAGCTTCGTGAGTGGTACGCTAGTGAGGGTTATAGGGGTGGCCGCGCTGCGACTACTGCTATTGCTACTGCTGCTGCTACTGCGGCTACCACTGCTCCTGCTGCTCCTGGCGGTGGCCAGATGCAGCTCCAGCGACGTCCGCGTGAGTCCCTCACGCCCCAGCAGCTTCGTGAGTGTTACCCTACTTGGGGTTGTCGGGGTGGCCGTAGTGGGAGTCGTCTTGGAGTGAGTAGTTCGGCAGCTGCATGTAGTGGCCAGGTGCAGCTGCAGCGTCGTCCGTGCGCGGTCCTTTCGCCCCAGCACCTTCGTGAGTGGTACGCTCAGCGCGACGGGTCACGGGGTAATGCTCGCTGTCCGTACGTCATTCGCACTCGTGCTCGGACTGGTCAGCCTTGCGGGACGTTTGGTCACGCAGAATCCCACTGCTTCGCCCGTCTGAGCGACGCCTGGCGTACGGAGTTTGGCGACGCGGCTGAGCTCCACGACTGGGTGGAGCTGCTTAGGCTGCGGGTAGATATCTATACTCTTGACTATGATGCTATCCTCACTGCCATGTATGCATTGCCTACTAGTGATGAGGGTGACTGTTACCTGTGTGTTCCGCCTGACCCGGGCATAGAGGCTGCTGCTCTAGGTGCTGGTGAGGCTGCTGCTCTAGGTGCTAGTGCGTCTGCTGCCCCAGGTGCTGGTGAGTCTGCTCTCTCAGGTACCACGTTGGCTCAGGCCTTACACACCTTCACCCTTGACTCGGGTACTTCCCGCTCCTTCTTTCGAGACCGCACCACACTCACGCCGCTTAGTCGGCCAGTTGCGGTCTCCCTGGCGGAGCCTTCTGGGGGTCCTGTCCTTGCCCACTTCTCCACTGTCTTGCCGTGTCCGGCAGCCCCCTCTGGCACCCTGTCAGGTCTCTACCTCCCCTCGTTCTCTACGAACTTGGTGAGTGGTGCTGATCTACAGGATGGGGGGGTTGACCAGTTCACTCCTGCGAGTCAGCGGGTGACCCACTGTACGTGTGCTCGGATGGGCCGACACTTGGCCACGTTTACCCGTCGGCCGGGGTCGAACCTGTACACACTGACTACTGAGTCACCTCCGGTTGCTGAGTCTGGTCAGGTAGCTGCGTCAGGTCAGATGTTTGCTGCAGCGTCCAGGTCTGGTCCTGAGTCTGCTCCCTGCTCGTGTCGTCTCCTGTCCCACCAGACTCTCCTTTGGCACCACCGCCTTGGTCACCCCTCCCTGCCTCGTCTCCGAGGCATGGCCTCCCGTGTCCTTGTCTCTGGTCTCCCCCGGTCCCTCCCTCCCCTCCCTCCGAGGCCTGCCCTTACCTTCGTTCCCTGTGTCGAGGGGCGGCAGTGCGCCGCCCCTCACTCCTCCGAGTTTCCTCCGACAGAGGCTCCGCTTCAGACTCTTCACATGGACGTGTGGGGCCCCGCCTGCGTCTGTGGCCAGGGTCACGAGCTTTACTTCCAATTGGTGTTTGACGACTACTCGCGTTACACCACGGTGTTCCCCTTGCGCAGCAAGGGTGACGTCACTGAGGTGTTGATCGACTGGATCTGCGCAGCTCGTCTCCAGCTCAGAGAGAGTTTCGGCTCGGACTTTCCTGTTCTGCGTCTGCACTCTGACAAAGTTTTCTTCTGCCCTTCTGGGAGCCTTCTGTCGTGCACAGGGCATCCGCCAGACCTTCACGCTTCCGGCCTCTCCACAGCAAAATGGGATTGCTGAGCGCTGCATTGGCATGGTCATGGACGTCGCTCGTACGTCCATGATCCATGCGGCTGCTCCCCATTTTCTGTGGACGTTTGCGGTTCAGTACGCAACACATCAGATCAACCTTCAGCCCCGGGTCTCCTTGCCAGAGACCTCCCCCACCTTGCGGTGGACGGGGAAGGTTGGCGATGCGTCTGCGTTTCGTGTCTGGGGATCTCGGGCGTTTGTCCGCGACTTGTCTGCGGACAAGCTGTCCCCCCGTGCTGTTCCCTGCGTCTTCCTTGGCTTCCCCCCTGATGCGCCTGGTTGGCAGTTTTACCACCCCACCTCGCGCCGTGTTCTGTCCTCCCAGGACGTCACCTTTGACGAGTCGGTGCCTTACTACCGTCTTTTCCCCTACCGCACTGCGCCCCTCCCCCCGCCGCCGCTCTTCCTTGCGCCAGGTCCCCCCCCGGTAGACCCCCTCCCCCCTCAGGGTCCTGCCCCGTCAGGTGTGTCCCAAGTAGACGCCGTAGAGCCTGTCGAGGTAGCTGTTGACTCTGGTACTGCTGCGGGTGCTGAGCCTGGGGGTGCTGAGTCTAGGGGTGCTGAGCCTGGGGGTTCGGAGCCTGGGGGTGCGGAGCCTGGGGGTGCTGGGCCTGGGGGTGTGGAGCCTGGGAGTGCTGAGCCTGGGGGTGCGGAGCCTGGGGGTGCTGGGTCTGCTCGTGTGGCCTCTGGCGGTGCTGGGTTTGGGGCCCCTTCGGGTGCTTCGTCGAGGTGGGAGCTACCCTCTCCACAGGAGCTACGCGAGTGGTTTGCCCGGTGCTGGAGCCGTGCTGCTGGATCTGGAGGTGCTGCTATTACTGCTGACCCTGGGGTCGGCACTGGAGTTAGTGGAGCCACTGGTCGTGGAGGTGCTCGTACTGGCGGTACTGGAGCTGCTGGGACTGGGGGTGCTGCTGGGGCTGCTGGAGTTGGTCCTGCTGGAGGTACTGCTGGAGCTGCTGGCGGTACTGGAGCTGACGGTCCTGCTGGAGTTGGTGCTGCTAGAGCTGCTGGATTTGGTGCTAATGGAGCTGCTGGAGCTAGAGCTGCTGGGGGTGTTGGCGCTGGTGGTGCTGCTGGCGCTGGTGCTTCTGAGGGTGCTGGAGTTGGCGCTGTTGGAGCTGGAGGTGCTGCTGGCGCTGGTGCTGCCGCTGGGGGTACTGGTGCTGTCCCTGCTGGTTATGAAGGCGCTGCGCGGCCGCGGCCGTACTTCGTTCCGCTCCTTGAGCAGGTTCTTGGTCTTTCGCCCTCTACTGGTCCTGCTCCTCCCTTAGAGTGTCCACAGCCTCTCCAGTCGCGGTCTAGTTACAGCCCGCCTCCCCCCTACCTGCTCCTTCTCCTTACACTGGTCCTACTGGAGGTCTTGCTGAGCGTCGTGAGCCTGCGTCTCGTCCTGCGTCGCCTGTTCGTGCTGCTCGCACTAGTAGTCGTGCTCCGCGTTCGCGTCCTCCTGCGGTCCCAGGCACACACCAGATGGCACTGCGTCCTTCCACTGCTCCTCTGCGTGTCCCGTTGCCGTCTCCTCCAGAGTCCTCTCTTCCTGTTCTTGCTGGCCCAGAGTCTGACTCTCTTCGTGCTGCCAGTCCTACTGTCACGCGTCTCCTGGCTACTGTTGTCACTGACCCTTCCTTTGAGTCCACTGTTGCGTCTGCCTTAGTTGCTGAGCTTGTCGACTTTGCTGCTCGCTGTCGTCTAGACTACGCTGCTGGTCTTGTTGCTGAGTCTGAGTCTGTCTGTCCTCTATCCGTCGGGGGTGAGTGTGCTCTTAGCACGGACGTCCTTGAGAACAGGCAGGAGGAGTTCCAGTGTTTTGCTGCTGCTTTGTCTCATCTCGTATCCACGCTGATTGCCTCTGAGGGAGACCCGGAAGCACCAGACATCCCGACTCTGTTTCGTGGCGGTCTACCCGCTCGTCTTCTATTCTCGGCTCTAGCTGTGAGGCTGAGATCTACGCGGGGGCCATGGCTGCACAGGAGCTACGCTGGCTCACCTACCTGCTGTCTGACCTAGGAGAGCCGCCTCGTTCTCCTCCAGTTCTGTACGTAGACAACAAGGCCATGCTGGCCTTGTGTCGGGAGCACAGACTGGAGCACAGAACGAAGCACATTGCTCTTCGCTACTTCCTGGCTCGTGAGGTGCAGCAGCGTGGTCAGCTGCGTCTTGCTTACGTGGCCTCTGAGGCCAATACTGCTGATATCTTTACCAAGGCACTTCCGCCTTGTGATCATCAGCGCTTCTGTACGATGCTAGGTCTTGTGCCTACTTGGCCTCACTTGCTCACTTCTTGACCTTGCTTGTACTGTGATCTGTCTATACCTGCACTTGCTTGTTTACCTTTATATATTATCTTGCATGTGAACTGGCCTTGTGGCCTTGAACTTGTGCTTGGAATGTGTGGTGACGTTGTGATCCACCCTGAGCTTGCTTTGCTTTGCTTGATTGGTCTTGTGACCTCTTCTTCTCCCCCACTTTGCCTATGGGGGTGTGTCGAACTCATATACTATAGTCTGTGTAGGCTGTAGTGGGGTAGACAATATGGGGTACAACACTTTTAGGTTTTCCTACTTGTACCCACCTGCTTGCTAGTTCATTCATTCCTCGTTCTTTCACACCCGACGGTCCAGATGCTCCTCGTAACCGTCTGTCCCTTCGCCTTTCTTCTGCCTTTTCATCTTCACTCTCGATAGTGCGTGCTTCGGCTTTGCTACGGTGAGGAGTGCGCAACAGTGTTTTTCATTAACCACTATTCGTAACACCCTGCCCGGGCAGACAGATGACTGGTTGATGCGACCTTCATGACACATCCCTGCCCGACTTCCATCACACCGTTCCAACTACGCATACAGCACTCCCCTGCCCCAGTCCATTCTTGTTCTACAAACCCCAGCTCTCTCTCCTTCCTGTTTCTTGTTCCTTCTTCCCAGCCGTAGCCATGGCCCGTAAGCGCAAGAGCGCACCACGGGTCTCGGTTTCGGGGCAAGTTCGCCCACGACGCATTTACGCGCGTAACCGCTCCCATCGTTTCACACATGTTGTGCAGGATGACGCCACAAGACGCCCCTGCAAGAATGCGCCAGAGCACGCAATCATTGCGGCCCGCGAATAGACGCCACCGGCCCTTGAATGCGCCGATGCAGCGCTCTACTGCCATGCGCGTAGCGCTTTGGCAGTAGTTGAAGCACTGCTCCCAGTCATCCATTAGGCCTTCACGGGGTGCATGTAGGGGGTCAAGCAGAAGTCCCTGAGTGGGTAGGCAGCATCTCCCACAATTTGGTATGGCGCAATGTCGTCGTTGTGCAACCTTTCGTGTAACGCGCGTTTCATGAACACCCTCTGATCGTGTGCACTGCCCGGGTATCCGACCAAGTAGTCCCAAATGATGCCTCGAGCATCGCATGTGATCTGCAGCTGCACGGCGTAGCATGACTTGCGCGTGTAGTACTCTTGCCTGTGCCCCTCCATCCCCTTCATGTGTATGTGTGTGCCGTCTATAGCCCCCACCACCGCAGGGACTCCCTTGATGGCGCGGAACTCCTCCGCCATCTCATCAAGGTCGTCACGGGTCGGGAAGTGGACCCACTGCTGCTTGAAGGCCGTCGGGAAGTGCATGAGGAGCGCATCTACCAGCGTGTGGCACAGCGTCTTGGACAGGCCGAAGACTGCCGACAGGTCTCGAAACGTCATGCCGCTGGCCAGGTATTTGATAGCCACAAGGCATGCCACCTCGTGCGTGATCAGGTATCTGTCAACGTAGGGCTGCATGTAGTGCGTTTGATGCGAAATAAATCCCTGAATTCTCCCTCCCCCATGCCTTCCAGGTCCTCTAGCAGCAACTGGTACCTGCGCCGGCGAAGCCCTGACCGCCTTTTCCGCTCGGCGGTGAGGTTGGAGCCATGCGAGCTAGAGGCCGAGGATACTTCCTCGGTGAACACGTTCGCCTCCAGCAAGCCGCCGACAGATCTGGAGACGGCGTCCATGAAGATGCTGTACTAGAACGTGACCCATGCGACGAGCAGCCGCATGAGGAAGGGCACGTCGCGAGGCTGTGCCATGGATGCTAGACTGGGAGGCACATTATGACTGGTAGTGGGGTGGTGGTTTTGTACTTGTGCCAGTGTTTGCTGCTGTAGTTGAACACAAGCCTGTGTGTGTAGTGTAGTGTTTCCGTTATGCCCGACTCGACCCATTTGCAACACCATCCACCGTGGCTAGAAGCCGCCGCGACATTCGTTGCGGGTTGCGCTTTTTTGGACTGGGATGCCCGGCGGGAAAACAGCAGCGGGGTCAATCCAAGTGGTGGCCACCAATAGAAAGCGCCCACCTGGCCGGTCCCATCTGTCGCTCAGAGTCGAGGTTCATTGGTTGTTTGAGACACAACATTTTGCAAATTTACAGGCGCGATCTGGGAAAACGGGGGTTGAGACACAAGTGTCTCCACAGGAATGCACCCTTAGACACGAGAGATTGACATCAGTTTATCAATGAAATCAAACCCATAAATATTGCAACAATCCATAAGCTCTAGGTTATTCACGTTGCTGTCTGCGCCACAGGACGTGGAGCACAAAGCATGCCAAAATGCCCACACGGGCAATGATTGCAAAAGCCTTTAGTATAATGGGTATTGATGTACCGGTAGATTGGTCATGGTAGTTCTTGTAACGGTTCATCTCCATGGCGTATTTTTGCCCCTCCATATCGAGCTCCTTTGATTCTTGTTGTAATTGTGCAGCTGCCATCATCTGCCAGAAAGGACAGGAGACAAATTATAAGAATTCAAGCTAGAATGCTTTGGAAAAAAATGAGCATTTGGGTCGAATAGGTACAACGGGTGGGAAGTGTGAAGGAAAGAGGAGCAGGGACGGGCATGGCTTACTGTACTGAAGTAAGCATCCATTGTCATTTTCACCCCGTTATAGCAACATGGCTCCGATTGTGCCTCGTTTGTGGATGTCCGTGCTGAAAGAAGGGGGAAGAGAAGGAGAAAGATACGGGATCAGGAGAATAAATGTGACGGTTATACCGCAGTTGAGTGAGCTAGGAAAAGAACACGATGAGGGGAATTGAGGGGATTTGTGAGTGAATATGAGAGTCAACAGTCAGAAAGGAGAAGAACGACGAGTGTTTGCAAGGGAAGTGGGAGTGGAATAGGAATGGGAATGCTCAAGGGTCGAGAAAAGGGGAATGTTAGAGCAGGGGATGCAGAGAAATGGAATGGTGGGAGAACACGGAAGAGAAACAGTGGGGGGTGACGGAGGGAATACCGGTATCAATCGTGCTGTCGCTTCCTTCGCTTATAACGCCATCGGTCTGGTTACCACAGAGAAACAGGGCACCTTTGCCCAGATCCACGATTCTGCACCGACGCTTCACCAACTCATTACAAGGCAGCTCGGTACACGCACCTGCATGGCATAACGAGGAGCAAGGTGGAAGAGTAGTGTTATGGTACGACGTGACGTCAGACGTTTGCACAAAAAAGGTGGGACCTTGACCACATGCTACCTTCCCCGGTTAGTCACCTTCACTATGTGCTACCTGGGTCGCACCTGCATCCAAATCAATTGACGCGATCCCCTCCCCTCCTCGCAGCAGCAACGCTCGTCGGTGACTCTTTGGAAGAAGCGCGGAACCCATGACACTAATATTATGCAGTGTTCTGTCTCTTCGTGCGATTTCCCCTTCCTGCGACAGTCGTTGTTCTGCTAGCGTAGATTGCGCGACGATCCCGATGGGTAGGAACGCCGTGCAGAGGAGGGAGAGGAGAAGGAGGCGTGGCATGGAATGGCCATTCCGTACTGGTGCGTGCACCTTCTGAGGTACATGGGGGGAAGGGAGATTAAACAGAGATGAAACGGACATGAAACGGGCATGAAAGCGGACAAGAACGGGCTGAAAAATGCGTTATGAGACGCCTCGAATTATCCAGAACGCAGGGGCGTGACTACAGCGCGGCCTAGGCCATGTAATGGTTTTTTGGGGCGCCTCAGGGATCTAGAAGCGAGATGTGACTAAAACGAGGCCTGCTGGGGCTCACCATGGTGCTGCGAGACGCGTGCGCAGGACGGGAATGCGGGCGGTAACGAGGAGACGAGCAGCGTACGGGGAGAATGCGACACTGAGACTTTTGAGACGTCTCAATGACAGAGGGGAAGAACGAAAGGGGAGGTGGGGGAGCTCGTCGCGGGCCGAGTCGTGGAGTCTGCGGTAATCGCGAACGTTTTAAGCGTCCGCAACGCGCGGAACTTCCGGATGTTTCTCGCGACGCGCTGATTCTTATGTAATGGTTGTCGCACGGGGAAAACCGAGGCTGGCTGTTTGCAATGAAAAATGCAATAGCGGAATATCTGGTGTGGCTGAAGAGAAGCTGCAAGGATAGTTAGGTTTAGGTTAGGTCGCAACCACCAGACCCTGTTATATTGCAAGGAGCAGTGGAATGGGATGGGATGGGATGGTAGTTTGGACGTGCCCCGCAAAACTTGTCCCCTCATCCCTCCCGAAAAGCTGCGCTTTGCCGACGTGGCAACAGAAGTGGCGCCAGCAAGTCTGATCGAGGGTAGTTGGTAGGCTGGTAGGTCTTCTTTGGTCAACCCTCTCCCATTGGAAGGAGGACGTGGAAGAGCTATTGACGCACTTTGACTGATTCAGACTGGATTACACCGAACACTTCGCAGATCGTGATTTGGTGACGGCGCATATAATCTAACATGGTACAACAATTCAAGACCATTTTGGCCTTTGAGGGCCTTCAAAACGTTTTAGTTGGTTTTGTTAGTGGCGGAATCATAGATGAGACTCTAGCTCCAATTGCGCATATGCAGACTGTTCCAGTATCGGAAGCAGGTGTGCCAACTTACTACCACATACCTCATTCTCCCCTCTACTCACATAACTACATTGCAACTTGATAGCATTCAAGAAACTCATACCCCCCAGTCACCAGCCACCCTTCGTCAGCCCCAAGCTACTTATCCTAGATCTTATTCCCAGCAACTCCAACCTGATCACCAGCCAAACCAGGCACCTACGCAATCTCCCCAACCACAGCTTCGGCTGGATCAGCTTCAGGCGAATCAGTGCGGTCCGAGCCACCAGCACCGTGACCAGCACCGGGGGGAGCAGCACGAGCAGCAGTGAGGGAGGGGAGCACGCAGGTGCGGTGGAGGCGGGATGCCACGGATTGCAACACTTTCTTCTTGTGCCGGCGGTACCTCACCAGCACCATCCGCTCCTCCACCACTGGTAAGATAGGCACACACCACGCATGAAACTCCTCCTTTCCCCTCGCCTCTTTGCCCTCTTCTCTGTCCTCTACTTTGTCCTCCGTTCCCCCCTTGCCCTTTTCCTCGACCTTCCGATCCTCCCTGTTCTCCCTCTCCTCCTTTCCGGATTTCGAACCCTCCCCGGATAATCCCGTCCCTGCTGTTCCTTCTCCTGCCGAGCCTCCCGCCAAGCCTTTGCCCCAGGCTTGGCAGGACTGCAGCTTCCGAAGCACAGTGTTGTCCTCTTCCATGGTGGTGGGGTACCGAGCCAGACGGTACTCTGCTAGAAGATGAATGGTGTCGGCCGCGGCGACCACAGCAGGCATAAGGGTGGAGTAGTTTGGCAGGAGGTGCAGGCAGGTCCTGTTGTTGGAAGAGACGCCCCAACCGTACAGCACACAGCCCAGCGCCAGCTGAGCATAGTTGGGCTCTGGTGGGGAAAAAAGGGAGGGGGGCATGGGAGGGATGGGAAAAGGCAGATTGATAGGCAGGAGGTGCCAGGAGGTCCTGTTGTTGGAAGAAACGCCCCAACCGTACAGCACACAGCCCAGCGTCAGCTGAGAATAGTTGGGCTCTGGTGGGGAAAAGGGGGAAGGTGGGGGGTGGGAAGGGGAGAGGAGATTTTTGGCAGGAGGTTCAAGTAGGTACTTTGTTGGCAAATGCACCCCAGCCATACAGCACAGAACCAAGCACCAGCTGAGCATAGTTGGGCTCTGGTGGGGAAAGGGGGAGGAGAGGAAGGGGGAAGGAAGGACAAAGGCGAGCTGCGTGGCAGGGAGTGCAGGCAGGTCCTGTTGTTGGAAGAGACGCCCCAACCGTACAGCACAGGGGCCAGCACTCTTGACCAGGCATGCCCACACCTTGCTCGCAGTGCATGATGCGCCACATAGCTGCTAGTGACGCCAGCTGGGTGCGTAGGCCTAGAGTTCATGTATGCACTCAATTGCGCGCAGTGCACCAGATGCCATGCCACATGGTATCTTGCGACGCCAGTAGCGTGCGTAAGATGACTGTTCAAGAACAGCCCTCTTTAAGAAGAAGCACAATACTTGCCTTTCTCAATAGCAGCGCATCAGATGTGTTTTTTGACAATTCTCAAAAAGCGCGCGCATCAAATGCTGCATGGCTGCCAGCGACGCCAGCAGCGTGCGTAAGACGAGAGAGGCCACGAACAGCACGCCTGGCTAATGATCTGGTCCACGAACAGCACGCCTGGCTAATGATCTGGTCCACGAACAGCACGCCTGGCTAATGATCTGGTCCACGAACAGCACGCCTGGCTAATGATCTGGTCCACGAACAGCACGCCTGGCTAATGATCTGGTCCACGAACAGCACGCCTGGCTAATGATCTGGTCCACGAACAGCACGCCTGGCTAATGATCTGGTCCACGAACAGCACGCCTGGCTAATGATCTGGTCCACGAACAGCACGCCTGGCTAATGATCTGGTCCACGAACAGCACGCCTGGCTAATGATCTGGTCCACGAACAGCACGCCTGGCTAATGATCTGGTCCACGAACAGCACGCCTGGCTAATGATCTGGTCCACGAACAGCACGCCTGGCTAATGATCTGGTCCACGAACAGCACGCCTGGCTAATGATCTGGTCCACGAACAGCACGCCTGGCTAATGATCTGGTCCACGAACAGCACGCCTGGCTAATGATCTGGTCCACGAACAGCACGCCTGGCTAATGATCTGGTCCACGAACAGCACGCCTGGCTTATGATCTGGTTTTTGAGAGAGAATCAAACAACGGATTCGACATAAGACGAGAGAGGCCACGGCCAGCGCACCTGCCCAAGGTGCTCACGACGAGTGTACTCACCTTGCTCACATGCACGAGGTCCCGCATGGCTGCTAGCCCAGCAGAGTCCTTACAGTGACTGTTCAAGAGCAGCACTCTTGACCATGCACACTCACCTTGCTCGTAGTGCACGAAGTGCCAACTACTTTTACCTTTTAGCTAGACAAGTGGCTGCCACGTAAAGACATGGCTCCAACCTGGGACTCCACTGTTCAAGAGCAGCACTCTTGACCATGCACACTCACCTTGCTCGTAGTGCACGACGCGCCACACGGCTGCTAGTGATGCCAGGAGAGTGGGCACCACTATCCCGTATGCCCACACTCTTGAGAAGCCAAAAACACCGTAGTTTTCTAAGGTGCTATGCACGGAACCTAGTGTAAGCGGAGAACACTCTCACCCACGTACGCACCTTGCTCGTAGTGCACGACGTGCCACATGGCTGCTAGTGACGCCAGGAGAGTGGGCTCCACTACCCCATACGCCCACACCGCCACCTCCTGCTCTTCAGCCATCCTCTCCTTCTCATCTTTCTTCCTCCCCTCTACCTCTTCATCCTCCCCATCGTCCCCACTCTCTCCCTCCACACCATCACCCCCACGCCCACCGTCAGAACCAGCAACACCAGAAGCACCACCACCGCCGCCGCTCCCAGAGGCTCCCGTCCTCCTCCTCTCCCCCTTGCTGCGCCTGCCCACTCGCTTCCACGCGGCCTCGTTCACGCGCTGCTTGAGGTTATACTGGGGCATTTTGAGCACGTCAGTGTAGTTCCCATCCTCTCCCTCCGCCACCACCGCTGCTACTGCTTTTGCTGCCACCCTCAGCAGATCGCGGTATAGAGCCTTGCCTGATGCTCCTGAGGGTGTCCATTTGCTGGGAGTTGGGACGTGAGGGGTGCTGCTGCTACTGCTGCTGCTGCTGCCGTCATTGCCGCCACTGCTGTTGGTGCTGTCGCCACCATTGCTGCCGCTGCTGCTGGTGCTAACCTCACCCCCACTGCTACTGCCACCACTGCTGCTACCATCAGCACCGTCAGCTGCCTGTGCAGCCGGCGGCTCTTCAGTCAGCCAGATCTCCTCCAGAGCCCTCTTCAGCTCCACCTCCCCCGGATACACCTCCCCCGAATACACCTCACTCTCCCTTTTCCTCTCCCCTTCTCCCCCAATCTCCTCCAACTCCCTCGCCCCTTCACTTGCTAGCACGCCAACCACCACACCACCGTCACCCTCCCCTTCTTTCCCGCTCCCTTCCCCTCTCCTACCCCCTACTCCGCGCCCACCATTCGCCAGCAGCGCCGCCACCACACCCACGGCCTCAGTCAGGTTCTCAAAGAGGGGTGCGCCATCGAAGGGGTTGGCATCGAGAACGAAGCCGTAGGTGGCGAGCAGCTGGTCGTTGGTCTTGGGGCCGTACGATGTGGCGAGCTCCGATCCTGCTGAGACGTTGACCATGGCTATGTACTCAAATTGATGTGTTATCTGGAGGAGGGGGAAGAGGGGAGGGGAGGGGGAAACGAGGGAGTCCGAAGGGAAGCATAGGCTGTAGCAAAGTGCGCTTCTGTGCCTCGTGAGATGTTGAGCATGGCGTGTTGTGTTCCCAGCGTGGTCCGTGATTTGCCCCCCGGGGAAGGGGGGGGTGACGACGGGACGAACTTACTCTGAGAACCAAACATAAGGTTAACTAACGAACTTACAGTGAGTGCTAAAGATAATAGTAAAGCACATATAGTGAGAACAAAACTACACACTTATGGTAAGTAACACACATAAAATTGGAGTTACACACTTATACTGAGTACCAAATATAAGGTAAAGTAAAGCACTTACAGTGAGTACCACACGGCGCGACGAATGCCGCAGCACCCAGTCGCCTCTCGCCTTTTGAGGGGCCGCAAAAGGACTTTTGAGGCGCTTCAAAAGGACTTTTAAGGTGCCTCAAAAGGCGCAGCACCCCATCGCCTCTCGCCTCTCCAGCTCGCCCGGTGCAAGAGCGACACCCTTGCCCTTGTGCCAGAGGATGACCCTGCTCCCGCAGCCTCGTTGATCGTGTGCAAGCCACACTATACCAGCCACTCACTCACACACTCACTGTGAGCCACCACTCACGTTGTACTGAATGGAGGAGTTGATTTGGTGGTCCAGCAGCTCGGCCGCAGTAATAAGCGCCATGCCCACGCCGCGCACCACACGGCGGGGCGACTCGTGCAGCACCCCCACCGCCTCGTTCACCGCCTCCACCAGCTCCCCCGGTGCGTTCGCCATCGCCCTCCGCCGCTCCCTCGCCCTCCTCCTCTTCTCCTTCTCATCCCCCTCACTCCCGCCTCTCAAGTCCTGAGATTCCCCCGCGGCGGCGACTTCAAGGTCGAGGCCAGAGAGCTCCTTGATGGGGACGGAGAAGGCGCGCGAGTCGAGGATGGAGTGCGCCCACATGTAGTCGTCGAATGATGCAAACGCCATGGCAGGCGGCCGCACCTGCTTGTACTCCATCAGGGCCACCTCCCTTTGTTGGTGGACCTATGATTGGGTGAGGTCAGGATGAAGGGAGGGATGGAGAGGAATGGAGAGGAAGATGGAGAGAGGGCATGGAGAAGGCACGAGATTCAAGGATGGAGTGCGCCCACATTAGTCGTCGAATGATGCAAACGCCATGGCGGGTGGCCGCACCTGCTTGTACTCCAGCCATGTCATCTCCCTCTGCTCGAGGACCTGGGAGCGGGGTGGAAAGGGATGGGCAGGGATGGTGAAGGATGGAGAGGGATGGAGAGGGTTAGGAGAGATGGCAATGAAATAGTCCTCAGTCAGGCACGCAGCGGTTGGCTATGGTGGCAGCACGGTAAAGGCTATTCGTGACAAGTATGGAATGGAAGGGGTCGGCCGTGCTGCAGCACCTGCAACGACAGCCCACCGACGCCATGTGCACGGAGCAGCCGCACGGAGCAACCGCACGGAGCAACCGCACGGAGCAACCGCACGGAGCAACCGCACGGAGAAACCGCACGGAGCAACCGCACGGAGTAACCGCACGGAGCAACCGCAACACCTTCCAGTTGCTTGAGCAAGGATGACTGCACTGGATGCGGCAGGAAATGCACACTCATTGCAGCACGTACCATTACCAAGCCACTAAGGCATATACCAGTAGCTTGAGGAGGTCGGACTGATCATCTTCCAGGGAGTCATCACAGAAGCGAGGGGGCAGCAGCAGGGACATAGGGCGGCGGGATGAGGCACCTGTCTTTGAAGTATTTCCGATAATCAACGAGTGCCAAGGCACGGCAGCACGGCACGGCACGAGTAACGGGAGGAGGAGGTCGGACTGAGCCTCGCAAGGCAATCATTGTGGAAGCGGGAGGGCAGCGGCACATTGAGCGGCAGGATGTCAATGTAGGGTCGCCAGCAGCCTCTTGAGAAATCACAGTAACCGACCGAGTCAAGTGCATGCATGCATACCAGTAGCTTGAGGAGGTCGGACTGAGCCTCGTCCAGGGAGTCGTTACGGAAGCGGTGGGGCAGTGGCACATAGGGCGGCAGGATGTCAATGTAGGGCCACCACTCCGACTGCCTCCCCCGTGCCTTCTCCCGCAGCAGCCACGCCACCATGGCCACCTGGGTGTTCACCGGCCCTGTGACGAGTGGCAGGGGAGGAAGAGTGGAGCAGGCAGGGAAGGCAGCTTGGAGAGGGCAGGCTCGTACACAAGGGTTCTGCAAGCCAGCACTTTCTCCCGCAGCAGCCACGCCACCATGGCCACCTGAGTGTTCACCGGACCTGTGAGGAGTGGCAGGGAAGGGAGGGGGAACGCACGTATCTTGAGGCACTTCATAAGGCGCCGTGGCCACCTGGGTGTCCACCGGACCTGTGGCGAGTGGCAGGGAAGGCAGAACGGAGGCGGCAGGGTCTTACACAAGGGTTCTGCACGCATGAATGCAAGCCCTCCAGCAAGCAAGCAAGCACCTCACCCGCAGCAGCCACGCCACCACGGCCACCTGGGTGTCCACCGGACCTGTGGCGAGTGGCAGGGACAGCAGATTAGAGGAGGCAGGCTCCTACACAAGGGTTCAAGCAAGCAAGGACAGAAGCACTTCCCCGCTGCAGCAGCCACGCCACCATGGCCATCTGGATGTTCACTGGCCCTGGTGGGTGTACCATGGAGGAGCAGAGGGGGATTGAACATGGGGTTCGCAAGCAAGTAAGAACTTTTTCCCGCAGCAGCCACGCCACCATGGCCACCTGGATGTCCACCGGGCCTGCGAGGAGTGAAAAAATGGAAGGGAGGAAGAGTAGGAGGAACGCACATGCTTTCGCACTCGTTTTATAGAAAGGGGAGGTGGTCAACCCGCCTACCCTCACCTTCTCCTGCAGCAGCCACGCCACCATGGCCACCTGGACGTCCACTGGCCCTGGTGTGCCAGGGGAGGGGAGGAGAAATGCACACGTTTGAAGCGCCTGTTTCACAAGGAAAGGAGGCGTGCCGGAGGGGAAACTGCTTTAAGTTCTCTCGCAGCAGCCACGCCACCATGGCCACCTGGATGTTCACCGGCCCTGGTGTGCCATGGGGGAACGGAATGGAGGGCGGAATGGTGAGCAGCACCTCCCCCCTGCGCCTCCCTCCCTCATTCCAGCATGACTGTCAGTTCAACGCGGTGCAATGTGCTGCAATGCGGTACCATGCGGTGCAAAGGGGTACCTGTGTGGGGCGGCATCTCCTCTGCTGCGACCTCTGCTGTGATCCACAGCGACTGCGGAATGGTGAGCAGCACCTCCCCCTCGTGCACGTCCCGCCCCGCCACCATGCTCATCTGCCGCCTGGCGTGGCACGACATGGTAGGAGACAGAGAGGTGGAGAGATAATGGAAATCAGCTCCCCCTCCTGCACGCCAAAAATCAGAAATCAGCTCCCCCTCGTGCACGTCCCGCCCTGCCACCATGCTCATCTGCCGCCTAGCGTGACGTGAGGAGACAGTAGAGGCAGAGGGAAGCAAAGCGGGTGATTGATGGGAATAGCAGCAATGACAGGAATCAGAAGCGAGCAGCACCTCCCCCTCGTGCACGTCCCGCCCCGCCACCATGCTCATCCGCCGCCTGGCGTGGCACGACATGGCAGGAGACAGAGAAGCAGAGAGAGGTAAAGGAGGTGATGGACAGAGATAAGATGGAATGACAGTAATCGGAAACGGGCAGCACCTCTCCCTCGTGCATGCCCCTTCCCGCCACCATGCTCATCTGGCGCTTGCTGGGCATCCCAGGCAGGACCACAGTGGGACGAGTTGAGACACGTGGCAGAATTCTTACTATAAATGTGTCACACTGCACACCTGACACGTGGCAGCATCCTTAAAGCTGCGGCCTACATACTCCGAGCGGAAGGGCTGAGATTATCACTTGAAAACAGGGTGACCAGTTTTTGGACTCGGCCCCCTTTCCTGCAAAGTTAACGGTTGAGAGGGGTGGAGAGAGGGGGTTGGGGCTCTTTCCGCACGGAACCGAACTCCCCAGGTTGTTTCCCGCCCTTCCGCAGACCCTCCTCCAAACCACCCGTCAGCACGAAATTGGGCTGGATTCGCGTTTCCTGTCTGAGTTCGTCTGCTGCGGTGTTTCTGAAACATGCTGACTTCGTTCTCCAATCAGGCCGCACGAAAGGGTTGGCATAAAAAATACACCCAAAAAACACCACTTAGTATGTAGACCACAGCTTTAAGTGACATGTGACTGCACACCTGACACGTGATGGAATGCTGACTGGAAATGTATCACGCCGCACACACTTGACACGTGGCAGAATGCTTAGCCTCACGTGTGCCACACTGCACACCTTACACGTGGCAGGATGCTTACCTGACACGTGTCACACTGCTCACCTGACATGTGGCTTGGCAGAGGCGTTGGTGGCAGCAGAGGGATCTGAGGTGTTAGTCAAGGAGGGTGCCACGTCACGATGGTCATAGAAATGAAACTGCCAATAAGGGGGATGACACAAGGGGAAGAGCGGGGAGGAAAGTTGAGGAAGGAGAAAGCGTGTCGCAACGAACAATGAAATGAAACTGCGGCAGGCTCAACCGAAAAACACTTTTGTTGAGAGGAAGTGAGTTCTGAAACGGTGGCCTGGATATCCCCACCAATAACATGGAACGCACTACCAACATGTTCGAACATGGATGGAACTAGCCTCGAGTGGCTCACTCACCTTGAGAGGTGATTCATCCGTGCCATACTCCTTGATGCCTCTCTGCTGCACCCACTTTATAAACGCCCTCAGCTTCCTCTCCTCATCATCCTCCACCTCCCCTGCCTCCCCTCCCTCCTCTTCCACCACACCCCCTCCTCCTCCCCTCTTCTGCTCCACCTCCCCTTCCCCTCCCTTCGCCTCCTTCCCTTCCCTCCCTTCCTCACCCTCCCCCTCGACACCCTCCCCCGCTCCCTCTGCCTCCCCTGCCGCCCAGCTCCTTGTTTCCCCCAGGTGCAGGTCGTAGCGTGGGTCGCAGGAGAGCAGCAGCCAATCAGAGGCCTCCACGAGCAGCTGCTTTTGGTTGAGGTGGCGCTGCACCACGTGCTCCACCTCCTCCAATCCCGTCATCATCCACGGCTCGCAGATCTGATGGGAGGGATACATGTGTGAGAATGTACAAGGGGAATACAGGAAGGGAGGGTGGTGGGGGTGCTTGAGGTGAGGTGCCGCTGCACCACGTGCTCTAATCCAGTCATCATCCACGGCTCACAGACCTTACAAAAGGGGGGATAGTGGGGAGAAGAAAGGCCAGAGGGAAAAAAAATAGTTGCTTGGGACATGAGGTGTCGCTGCACCACGTGCTCCACCTCCTCTAATCCCGTCGTCATCCACGGCTCGTATATGGGGAAGACCTTTGTGGGGAAGGGGGAAGAAGGCATGTATAGGAGAGAGTGCGTGCTGTAGTAGAGTGACATGGCGTCCCCCTGCACACTGAATCCCGTGTTTTTAGCTAAGTGCGCCTCTTACCTCGCTCCCACCCCACCTCTCCAAACTCACTCCCAGCACCCTTCACCCACCCCCACCATATCACTCTCCTCTTTTCCAGCTGCTGCCCTCCCCCCTGCTGCCACACGCAGCATTTGGCACAAACACCCCTTTCTTCCCCCTTCCTCCTACCCAACACAATGACCACTCACCTTGACGATCTTCTCTAGTTGCTTCACTCCAGCGCACTGCTAACTTCAGCGCGCTGCTAGCTTCAGCACACTGCAAACTTCAGCGCACTGCAAACTTCAGCGCGCTGCAAACTTCAGCGCGCTGCCACACGCGACAGAAAGGCACGTAACAAATCGACATGGCATCCTCCAGCACCGAGTCCTGGTACTCGCGCACCCCTTCTCCACCCCTCTCCACCCCTCTCCACCCCTCTCCACCCCTCTCCACCCCTTCCCACCCCTCCCCACGCCTCACCTTGACAATCTTTTCGGGCTGCTTCACTCCAGCACGCTGCCACACGCGGCAGAAGGGCACGTAATACAGCGACATGGCGTCCTCCTGCACCGAGCCCTGGTACTTAGCTAAGTGCGCCTCCACCAGCTCTCTTAGCGTGCTCGCCACCAGCCTCAGCACGGGCGTGAGGGCGGAGAGCAGGTGGTCCCGCTGGGGAAACTCGGCGAGGGAGATGTGGAGGGGGTTGGAGGAGTGGTTGGAGGAGGAGGATGATGAGGAGGATGAGGGGAAGGAGGAGGAGATGAGGGGCATGTGCGTGCAGGTGGTTTTGCCGTCGAGGTTCCACGCATAGGCCACGCTCACTCGAGCAAAGAAGCTGTAGTGCGGCTCTGGTGGGAGAAAAAAGGGCAGAGAGGGAAGAAAGGGCAAAAGGAGGTGCTGCAGTAACTGTAGCAGTTGCAACCCTCCTCTGTGCAAAAGGCAACTCTCACCCTCCCACATGGCAATGCGACAAAAACGACACAGACTCACTCAACCTCCATTGTTGCGGCAAAGAAGAGGGTGAGAAAAGTGAGGCATGGCAACGGCAGGCATGGCAACGGCACAGCACCACATCCAGGGGATTTTGAGGATCCTCAAGAGCTGACTTTTGTCTCGGGCTTTTGTCTCAAACCCAAGGCGTGCATGACAATCGAGCCGACTCAAAGCTCAATTAGAGCTGGACTTTTGGAATTCTCAGAAACCCTTCCCCCTGGCTGAAACGACTCCCATCCTTCCTCCATGACAGAAATACTCACCTTCCTTTGTGGTGAAGAAATAGGTTAAGGCAGTGCGGTCAGCCACGATCTTGGGATTCATGAGACACATGCAGTGCCGGCCTATCCAGCCATGGCACATCCATCCCCCTTTGCCCCAGCTCCCCCTCCCGTGTGTCTCAAATCTCACCCTCCTTAGTGGCGAAGAAGTAGGTGAAGGCAGTGAGGTAAGCCACCATCTCGGGGTCCATGAGCCCCAGCGAGTACACATGCAGCGCCGGCCCTTCCAACCATGACACATCCACCCCTCCCTGCCCCCCTTGCCCTCCCTGCCCCTCCTCCCCATCCTCCCTATCCTCCCCTTCCCCACCTTCCTCCTCCCCTTCTTCTCCTCGCACACCCACCTCCTCGCTCCCTCCTCCTCCCTGTGTCTTCTCCAACCCCATCCTCTCCCTCGTCTCCCGCCTCATCTCCCACACTCTCACTTTCTCCACAATCTCCTCCCTCACTCCAAGCCTCTCCCTCTCCTCCCTGCTCCCCCACACCACCGCCTTAACCACCCTCCTCTTCACCCTCCGCACCGCCCGGAGAATCTTCGCGCCGATCTCTGCAATCTTGAGCTGGGATTCGATTGCATCAGGATCAAAATCAGGCGGCACTTGCGTGGCAGCGGCTTGCAGGACAGCAAGAGGGGAGTCGAAGAGGGGGAACTGGGCGAGGAAGAGCGATTTGGGGGCGACACCAAAGTAGGTGAATGCATCGGTATTAGAGAGAGGTGTGGCGTGGATCAGTGATGGCTGGGGAAGCTTCAATGTATTTCTCTTGTGGAGCTGCAACTGTTGTTTTTCCTTGCCCACCTGTCCTGCTCCTGCTCCCTGCCACCTGTTGCTTTCCCTTGCCCAACGCTGCTCTAAGTACCCTTCCTCCCCAGCATCTTCCATCTCCTCCTCCTCCTTTTCCTTTCCCTCTCCCTGCTGCTGCTGCTGCTGCTTGTCTGTTTCCTCGGCCTGCTCTCTCCTCTGCCCGTCCTTCTCTTCGCTCCTCCTCTGCCTCCTCGCCTTCATCCTCCTCTCTCTGGCCTTCTGCGCCTCTCTGAAATGACCCGACAGCCCGCCATCCAGCGGCAGCAGCAGAGGCGCGTCGTTGGCAATGGGCTGCGTCGCAACCACACGAATCGACCCCCCCACCACCTCCCACTGCACGTTCGGCGCATCAACCTCCGCATCAGCATCCCCATCCCCATCCCCATCCGCATCCCCATTCCCATCCCCTCCCTTCTGCCCACTCCCAGTCTCCGTCCCATTTGTCTCAACCCCTTCATCCGCCAGCACTATATCTGCAACGGATCCTCTCCCTGCTCGCCCCAGCAGGTGCATGAGAGGCACAAACGCCAGCTCATACCTCCCATCCCCCTCCCCTCCCTCCTCCCCATCCTCCTCCATTCCTCCCTGCGTCTCATCCCCTGAGCACGTACGGGCACCAGCAGAATAATCGCTCGCACTGCACTGCCTTTCAGCGCGAGTGGGTGTCGCAGAGGGGTTGGTGGTGGCATGGAGGGCGGCGGAGGGCAGGGGGATGGCAGAGACGAGGGCAGTGGTGACAGCACCAAGAAACTCCTCCTGAGTCACGGCACTCCCAGCAATCCCTGTGGGGTTCTGAGCATTGTGGTCGTGCTGGGACGGGCTGGGCTTGGGCTTGCGGCGGGACTTGTATGCTGGTGCCTTCTTGACAGTGGCTTGTTGCCATGCCGTGTACTCGCCCTCGTATTGCTGCCTCAGTGCTTCTGCCTGGGTGGTGAGAGGGGGAGCGAGGAAGAGGGGAGAGGAGGGAGGAGGGCGAGGAGGTAGTGAGCCTTGTGCTGCTGGCTCACTACGCGTGGTGGATTCTTGAGTGTCGCCTGCTGCCATACCGTCTACTCACCCTCGTACTGCTGGCTGCCTCAGTAATTCTGCCTGCGAGGTGGGAGGCCCGGGAGAGGGGGAGGGAGCGGGTGGGGGGAGTGATCCTTCCACTGTATTGTACGCTGGCGTGGGTGCGCATAAAAGAGATGGAGTAACACACTCATGCATGCACACCTCTGCCACCTCTGGCTGCATGCCCAGCCGCTCACGCATCATGGCATCATGGCATCATGGCATCATGGCATCATGGCAGCATGGCAGCATGGCAGCATGGCAGCATGGCAGCATGGCATCATGGCAGCATGGCATCATGGCAGCATGGCAGCATGGCAGCATGGCAGCATCTACTAAGGCACACCCATCCCAATACAGCACCGCATTCCTACATTTCCTCACCAACTGCCTCAAACGCTTCGAGCTACTCAAATGCTGCCTGCACTGCACTCACCTCGGGCACCTCCGGCTGCATGCCCACCCCCTCGTGCATCATGGGCAGTGCGCGGCGCTGGCCCGCCTTCAGGTGAATCAGCAGGTGGAGGAATGGCGCCCAGGCGAACGAGGAGGAGGAGGAGGAGGCGGAGGAGGAAGAGGAAGAGGAAGAGGAAGAGAATGAGTGGAGGTGGGAAAGGGCGCAGACAGCAAGCGAGGCTTCAGCAGAGAGGGATGCAGGGAGGGATGGGGATGGGACCGAGAAGGGGGGAGATGAGGCGCAGAGGGAGGAGGAGAAGGCGAGGCGAAGGGGGAGGGAGAAGAGCACTTGGCGGCGGCGAATGGGGCGGGTGGTAACCAGGGATGGCAGGAACCTGCATGGGAAGGAGGGAGAGGTTGGGAGAGTCGGGGAACAGAGAACAAGGTGACTTGTGAGGCGGCTCTGAAATCACGGTGCAGCAGGAGGGAGAAGAGCAGCTGTTTCCAAAGAATGGGCGGGTGGTAACCAGGGACGGCAGGAAACTGCATGGGATGGAGATGGGAGCATGCAAGGGGAGCAGAGAATGGCATGTCTTTTGAGTTGCCTGTGTAGGCGAGGCGCAGGGGAAGGGAGAAATAAAGAAAAAAATGAAACAGTATCAACAAGAATGGTCAGGTAACGGCAGGTGGAGCTACTCACATGTACTCATCCTCGTTAGAAGCTTTTGCAGGCTTCTCATCCCCGTCCTGCTTTGTCTGTTGTGGCTTGGGCACAAACCGTTGCTTCAGCATCAGCAGCTGCGTAGTCATGCCATTCCATGCCATCACATGCCACCACATGCCATCACATGCCACCACATGCCAAGCAGTACAGGAGATGCATGTTGAAGCAATGTTGCCCCAGTCAAGCCACAGAGGATACGCATAGTGGTTGGGGGGGAACCAGTTGACTTTTGAGACGTCCCAAAAGTCAGAGGATATGCATAGTGGTTGGGGTAGTACCAGATGACCTTTACTCTTGTAAAAGCATCCAAAAGCACCATAAAGGAAGGGACTGAACAAGGTCATGCCTGGACACGCATGCTCAGGATGGACATTGCTGCAACTACGGAACAGAAACAGAAACAGAAACAAGCTGAAACCCTGATTGATCACGAAGGGCCTAAAGTTCACAGCTTTACAGCTGTCGTCCAAACTGGATGCTTATCATTTGCCCAAACAACAGCCGTTGGAGCAGATGTGGAAATTTCAACCTAGACGACCAACCACTAAATTGTCCAAAACGAGAAGTTACCCCACCTTTATGGGTCCTTTCCCCGTGGCAGCTCGAAGCGCCGTAGTCGCATTCACCCCCCCTGAATCCGCAATCCACTTTAGATAATCCCCCCATCCAGCCTCCAGCAGCAGAGGATCCACGTCAGCACTCGTTTCATCCCAGAGATCTCCGGCTGTCCCCGTGGCACCTGATCCTCCGGAATCGACGGGGACTTTGTGTCCATTGCTCGAAGCTGAATCTGCCTTTAGCGCGAATTCAGGTAACAAATTATCCTCTTTATCATCATCAAAGATTCCTCCAAACGAGGAAATAAGCCATCCGAGTGACTCTGGAACGCCTCGCTTGGCTGTCGCATTCGAGCCCTGAACTGTAGCACTTCGTGCGACGTCGCTTCCTTGCGACGACGTCGCCACATTCTCTGTCACTGCGCTTGAACATCCCTTGGCGGTCAGGATTACGGCAATGCAGAGCAGGAGGAGGCTGCAGCGGCGTCCACGGCGAGCCGTCACCGCCATAGCTTGCAGCAGTGGGACCCGCACAAAACAGATTCGGAATTCTTGATTCAGGAAACCACGACGATTTGAAAAAAGTTGAGGTGATTCCAATTTCCAGCCTCCTTACGAGTGCATCCGATTTCAGAAATGCAAACAGCCTCCATACGCGAAAGCGGAAGATTTGAAATTAGGGAAATATTTCCTATCGGTTTCATATTCAATACATCTTCACCTTGTGAATCTCCCATACTTATGCATTGATTTATTGCTACAGCATCTCGCGAAACCAATCAACGTAACAAAAAAAATAGCTACCTCCTACTTAGAGTTCTCCATGGATCTAAAAATTATCTCATACAAACTAACACAGATTTCACCTGCAATTAGCAGGATGATAATCCACTCAAGCGTATCTGACTTCCGGTTTTGGAGGATATCCAAGAAGAACCGCACATTGTGCTGCCAAACAAGAAATGCAGATGGAAAAAGAATCGGGCACAAAGCAAACCAGTCAGGCATCATACAAAGCAACCAATTGAGAGCAGCAGCACCACCACAAACACACCAGCAGTGGGAGTAGTGCAGCAGCAGCAGCAGCACGAGAGGGTGGTATATGGTGGAGGGCGTCACCTGGATGATGTTGAGCTTGAAGTCGAGGCTCTCAAAGCGCTCGTCGAGCTCAAAGTCGTCCCGCAGGAACTCCCAGATTTTGGAGTACTCCGCATGCCGCCACGCTGTGTCAGATCTGGCAGGGCAAAGAGTTCACAAATATGTGTTTGCAAGGAAGCAATGCTTAGGATCCAAGCAGAACTACAAGACTCACCTCTCCAGCAGCCCTATTCTGAGGATGACGTCAGCCAGGGTGGTGTTGGCGGCGGCAACAAGCTGGAAGAGCTTCTTGCGAGTCATGGTGAAGGTTCCGCTCTGCTCCATGCCCCGATTCAGCTCACTGAACGTGTTCACCATCTCGTCCACCTGGCAGCAGGGAGAAGAGGGGGACCAAGAGAGGGCAAGGAGGAGCAAGGGAACTGTTGGGGTCATGGTGAATGTGCCGCTCTGCTCCATGCCCCGATTCAGCTCACTGAACGATTCATCTCATCCACCTGGCAGCAGGGAGATGAAGAGGGATTAGGGAAGGCGGAAGGGACCAAGGGGCCTGAATAGGGGTGATGGTGAGCATGCCTCTCTGCTCCATGCCTCGATTCAACTCACTGAACGTGTTCACCATCTCGTCAACCTAATAGCGGGGATGAACGGAGCACGGGAAGGCAGGGGCGAACTCATTGTGAACTACGGACCTCTGTGCCCCTGATGTCCACCTGCCTCTACGAACTACGAACTACGAACTAAGAACTACGGACCTCTGTGCCTGCTCTCCACCTGCCGCAGTTGAGACCAAGATCCCACACGTACCCACAACGCAACAACCCCTTCCACCCAGCTTCCAGGCTGAGAGGTCCTTTTGGGGCGCCTCAAACGCTACCACCACACTCCACCACACTGCACCCACCTTGCATGCGTAATCGTCCAGTGCCGCGCTCTGCCCGAGGATGCTGGAGATGACTCGAATGTTGTTCACGTCCAGCTACCTCACACACACACTCATGCGCTCATTCTGCAAGTTGTCCACCGTATCCAACCTCCCTCTTCCCACTCCCACCTTGCGTGCATAGTGATCAAGTGCCACGCTCTGCCCGAGGATGCTGGAGATGACTCGAATGTTGTTCACGTCCAGCTGCCGCACCGCCACGTAGTCATGCCCCCCCTCGCTCCATCCTTTTAGACCAGCCCGAGCGATCACACTGTACTCTGTGTGGTGTGGGAATGGGAGAGCATGGGGGGCAGCGCAGAGGGGAACACACAGGGAAGACAGTAAAAGGAGATTTCGACTCAGCTGCCTCACCGCCACGCAGTCATGCCCGCCCTCACTCCACCCCTTGCGACCCGCCTGGGCTGTGCAATCACACAGTACCCTGCACGGTGTGCACAAAGGGGGGAAATCATCACAGAAATGGCTAAGAACACGCTACAATCATGGCAAAGTGAACCCACCATTGATGTTTGCCACTAAACAGCACAGCCTGACAAGACTATATCGAGGTCATTCAACCCACCGTCGCTGTGTGCCTCCTTGAACGCCCCAGTGCAGTGCTGCGTGACTATATCGAGGGCGAGCGCCTCCTCTGTGCGGTCAAAGTTGAAGAACACCACGGAGCCGTAGTGGAATGCCACCATGTAGCGCTCTGGCGCTGGTACACACGCTTCCATGCCCTGGTGAATAGGATTGAATCAGCCCAGAGATGGAATGTATTGGGGACGGGGATGGGAGTCAAAATTGAAGAACACCACGGAGCCGTAGTGGAATGCCACCATGTAGTGCTCGGGCGCTGGCACACATGCCTCCATGCCCTGAGGGTGGTGACAGGGGTGTATGGGAATGGGGTGCATGGAAGGAAGGGGAGGGAAGATGGGGAGGAAAGAGCACGGAGCTGTAATGAAACGCCACCATGTAGCGCTCTGGTGCTGGTACGCATGCCTCCATGCCCTGAGGGTGAAAGGGGTGAAAATAAGCATGAGGATGGGTGGGATAGAAGCGCAGAGAGGAGGCATGGCATCGGGAGGGAAGATCGCAGAGCCGCAGTGAAACGCCACCATGTAGCACTCAGGTGCTGGCTGGTACACATGCCTCCATGCCCTGGGGAAACAGACGGGCATGGGATGGGATGTATGGTGGGAAGGGGAGGTAGCAGGGTGGGGGGCGATAGCACGGAGCCATAATGGAACGCCACCATGTAGCGCGCTCAAGTGCCCCACCACACATGCCTCCATGCACTGTGCGCCGCCAGCGCCGGCATTTGAGTCGACTCAAAAACCGACTCATGTAGCCAATGGAACGCCACCATGTAGCCAATGGAGCGCTCAGGTGCCCCACCGCACATGCCTCCCTCCATGCACTGTGCGCCGCCAGCGCCGGCATACAACGCAGAGGAGTGGGCCCTCCGAGGAGACAGTGAGTGTGGGCATGCAGACGATAGCCATCACGGTGGATGAAGTTTCGGGTATGGACGGGGATGCTGGCAGAAAAGCAGCAGCAGCATCATCACCGGACGCAGCAGCAGCAACAGAAGCTTACATGCATTGCAACAGCTAAACGCCTCTTCTCAACATGCAATGCCAGAAGCACCCACACCCCACTGACACGCCACCCACACACACACCACTGAAATGGCACTCACGGGTTTGGAGAGTGCTGCATGGAGGGGAAGAGGCAGGGAGCGGTTGGGGAAGCGGATGATGACATTGTTCTTGGCGGGCAGCAGCTGCATGCCCCCGAACCCACTGGGACCTGCCAGCCCCCTCACGTCCAGACTGGCAGCGGCAAAGTGGGATGGAAGGGAGCAAAGTGGGAGATTCTTGAAACACCGCACAGACAACATACTAAACCCCAAAACCCCTGTGGGCCTCACCCGCACCCTACTTCGTGTATATAGAGATGAGAATTCAGGCAGGCACATACAGAAGATGACAGTGGACAAGGATGCAGATGGAAAACAATGGTGAATAAATGTCACCTTAAAACCCAAACCCTGAACCTCCGACAGCTCGGCTTAAGAGCAGACATGGAGCATTGCAAACGCGTGCTGGATGTAAAATGGGTAAATGTATTTCGGTTCACGAGCATAAACGCTCAAGTTTTAAGAGTTAAGAATATTGAGGGTTTAAGAGTTAAGGTACCTTCTTGCCACGTAGACTGCCTTGACTGGTATGAACTGATCCGGTTGCTTGATGCCTGCTGGAACAACACTGCCGTTCGGAGGGGTGGAACTGGGTTGACTGTTGAGACTGGTGGGGCTGGTGGGGCTGGTTTGACTGGTGGGGCTGGTGGGGCTGGTGGGGCTGGTTTGACTGGTGGGGCTCGTTTGACTGGTGGGGCTCGTTTGACTGGCCTGACTGTGTTGAAGCGTGGGGCTGGTGGGGCTGGTGGAACTGGTTTGACTGCTTAGGCTGACGGAGCTGGAGCTATAACAACTGCTTGAAGTGCGAGCATGGGTTGGCGCTGCAGAATGACTTGAGAGGACAGGACCAGGCGAGCCTGCTGTGCTGGTGTGACTGGGAACACTGCTAGCTGAAGTCGTGAAGGCGGCTCTCTGGGCCACGTGAAGGTGCTGCAGCCAGTACTGCTGCTGCTGCTGCTGCTGCTTCTGCCAGTGCTGCTGTGGAGAGGCAAGCGCAGCAGAACTGGTTACAGAAGGCATGCGCTGCTGATGGCAAATGTGACTCCCGATGAATCTGGACACCTGGCTTGTCGACCCTTGGGATCTCCAGGGTTCTTGAGGGCCTTCAAAAAGCGATTCAACGAATTTGGACACCTGACCCGGCGTCTCTGGAGATCTCCATGGCTGCAACTGCTGCTGCACTGCCTGCTGCTGGACGCATTGAGCTGTCTCAGAACTCAGCGACTCCCGCAAACTAGTATCTGACAAGGCTGTATCTGACGACGCTCTCCCGTGCGGCAGCCTTGACGACCCGCTTCCGTCGCTCTCGAGTCCAGCCCGCCATGCTGTAACGCCGCGCGTTCCGGTATGAGAAGCCTCATGATGGTGATGACGAAACGAATGGAGCCCGTCGCGAGCCAGCCTGACGATGCCATGGCGGACCCGCAGGAAATCGACACGTGGCATGGCGCCAGCGTGGCCACAGGTGGTGCTTATATGTTACGAAGGGCCAAAGACGAAGAAGGATGAGTCCTGAGAGTCCTCTTTTACGGATCAGCGAATCGCGAAATTACAGGTCGCAAGACAACACATGAAGACGCAAGCTGAAGTGGGATGCGTTTCTGGTGCTGGTCGCGCGACGGAGTGGAGGGAGGGGAGATGATCGTGGGTGACGCGAGGCGCAAGAGAGCGAAGGTAACAACAAGGGACCAATGATGAGAATCCACGAAAAAAGCGCGATCGAGGGATCGATGGTGGAGATCGGCGGTGAAGAATCCCCTTCCTGACGCTAGGCGGAGGCAGGCACCTTACAACAGCAACTGCTGAGCAGCCGCCATGGCGTCTGTGGAGTTCCCAAGCTGATTCTGGGTGATAGGTGTTTGACGGCGGTCGTACGCGATATACGATGCTTGGCTAATTTCAAAACATGTGTCAACCGTCATTCCTTGCAAGTTGAATCAAAACTCGCAACAGTGCTTCATTTGAACTTGCCCAACACCAGAGCAGCAAGAAATTACGTTGCAGCTTAAAGCCCAAAACCTGAATTACAAAAAAAGAGGGCAGACTGTGCACAGTTGGCCTGCCGCGCCCCAGAGTTTTGCCTGCAGTTGACTTCCGTTGAACAATTCAGGTCTTTGGCTTTAAGTATTGAGCTAAGGGGGATAAAAAGTCAAAATACATATTGCATAGCAACTCCATTGTAGGTTGCGATTATTTCAAGCGTTCTAGCAGCAACTCCGGCTGTATTCTTTACAAAACATCATCTTCTGTTCCGTCCTACCTAGCCACCCCCTCCTCTTAGGAGGGGATAGACAGCCAGCCACCCTTGAATAATTCTATGTGCAATGCATGTGCACGGATTTCTCTATGGCTGGGTAGGAGGCTATGGCAGCGGGCCTCCAATCCACTGCCCTCCACACCCAGATTCGACTGTCACCTCACCACCGCGCGCCACGTCAACCATAGCTCTCATCCTCTAGGAATTTCTCAAACTCGGTGCCTTTGAGCTTCGCAGCCACGGCGTCGTAGTTCTCAATGGACTCCCTCAGCGGTCGCGTGTGGATCTTCACCTGCTTGCTCGTCAGCTCCTGTGCTGGCACTCCTAAGAAGCGCTGCACATTCTCTAGGATCTGAAGTGGGGAAGGGGAGGGGGAGGGAAGGTGAGAGGGTGAATCTAAGAAAGAGAGGCTTGCTTATCAGCTCTGTGCCGGCACTCCAAAGACGCGCCCCCACGTTCTTCAGGATCTAAATGGGAGGCAGCAGGGAGGGAAGGGAGGGGTGAAACGTGGGGAAAGGTGAGAGGTAGTTAGTGATTGAGAGAGAGGGCTGGATGACTGGCGGGGAAGAGGATTCAAGGAATGTATGAATGTATGAATGTATGAATGTATGAACGGAAGGTGGGAAGATGGAGTTCCGAGGGAGGAGGGAACAGGGAAGGCAGGGAGGGAGGGAGGGAGGGAGGGAGGGAGGGAGGGAGGGAGGGAGGGAGGGAGGGAGGGAGGGAGGGAGGGAGGGAGGGAGGGAGGGAGGGAGGGAGGGAGGGAGGGAGGGAGGGGATTTGAGGTTGTGGAATGACAGAGGAGGGGGGTGACAGGGAAAGGGACCAAGATCTACCAAACAAGGTTATTCCACAACAGTTATGATTGAGTGACTGAGCATATTCGAGCAGCATTAGCAAATAACTGGCAAGGTTGGCAGCACTCACCGTTTTGTTCTTGACAACGTCCTCGTAGTACACGAGCATCCGTCTGGTGCCATTGAACGCTCTCAGCGCGTCGTCCACCATCTCCTGCACGCGCTGCAGGTTGCCCTCCAGGTGCTTCGCGTTCACGTTCGGCCGAAACGTCGCCAGCTTCTCCGCCTGCACCGTTGGACGAACGCACCCAGGGGTGAAAAACGCAGTAACGTTGGTTACACTAACGAAGGTGGCATGCGGAGGAACGGCGGTGAATGCTGGTGACAAATACATTCTTTTACGTCAACTAAATAATGAATGTTGGTGCAAAATAGCGGGGTTGTTTAGGACAGCGAGGGGAGGGAAAATGTCAGAGAGACAGAGAGGGAGCGAGTAATTAGTAGCTGGGCTAAGGGTGCTTCATGAGAGGGAGGAGGGGAACGGAAGGGCAGTGTGCGGAAGGGGTTAGGGTAGGGTGAAGGGAGGTGGGGTGTGTGGTGTGGTGTGGAGCAAAGGAAAGGGACAAAAGGAGATCTGAATGAGCGCACGACGCACCTCTTCTTTGCTATGCGTGTGCGACTTGTGCACTCCCACTAGCTGCGTCTTGCGATCGTACGCGTTCGCCAGGATGGAAATCAGCCGCCGCAGCACGTTCTTCCTGATAAGCAGGATGACTGACACGTGGTGCTTCTTGAAGTACTCTGCCACGTCACTACTGAACTCCATCGCGCCCTGCAATGCCAGCGGCAGCGAGAGTTGGATAGTATGGTTGGGGAGGGAGAAAAATGAGTGAGAAAATCCAAGAGGCTACTTGGAGAAGACAAGTGGGCAGGACAAGAGAAGCATGTGAGCGAACAACCGGAACTTGGGTTACGGGGACGGCGCCTGGGGATGTGAGTCAGGGTAAGGATGGCAGCCCACCGTGCCTAATACGACCACCCTCCAGCATTCACCACCTCACCCTACCCTCCCTGAGGGACGACCCTCCGCTTTCAAATCTCGTGCAATCCCTCTTTTCGTCACTTACCCAGACCTTCTCACTCCCTATTTTTTTTTCCTCCCTCATCCCTCCTCTCCTCTTCCTCCTCCAGTGCCCTTCCTCGTCTTCCCTCCCTTCTCCCCCTACACCCTTTCTCTTTCCGTCTCCAGGTCGATTTCCTACACCTGGCCTCCTCTCCGCTCGCTTTCGTCATTCACTTCCCCTCTCCTCGTCAACTTTTTACCTTCATCCCTCCCCCATCCTCCCTCTCTCATCCTCACCTGGTTCACCATCCATCCCAACAAACAGTCCACATCACCTGGAAGAGCATCTAAAGCCAACGGCCCCCTCACCTGGTTGAGCATCCATTTGAATCCGACGGCGCTCGTGCACGAGTTCTTCGCGGCGCTGTTCGACCAATCCAGGTTGTACACGCGGTCAAGCGTCTCCGCGACTGCCGACGCGTTTTCGCGCCGTGGCCTGACTATGAATATCTCGCCGTGGCTACTAATGTTTGGGTGGGAGTTTAAGAACGTTTCGAACCACCCGCTGCCGGACCGCTGCATGGAAAGGACGACGAAATTGTGCACGGGTTTGCACAGGCATTCTCCTCGGCTGTAATTAAGAGGGTTGGGATAATGTTGACCGAACCGCTCCAAGTCGCCATATTCTACGTCCGGGATCGCGGGACATTTTTCTAACTCCCTCGAATCTGCTTCCCTTTGCGCCTTCCGCACAGCTGCCTTCTCCTCCTCGCTTTCCTCGGAAGCGAGTGAGCGGGGCGGCGAAGAAGTCGAGGAGGAGGACGACGGCGAGGAGGACGAGGAGGAGGACGAGGAGGAGTGGGGAGAAGACGAGGGAGTGTATGGGGAATCGATGGGAACAGCTTCTATGGATAGCGACGCGAATAGGTCGAACGAGGATGCGGTGTGTGATATGGATTTAATGCACAGCGATAGGCCACATATGGCCAGCAGAACCACTGTGCTGACTTTCCAGAAGTAGGAACTCCGTCGAGGGATTTTGGCTGGGGTTGGAGAAGGAGGAACGACCATCATAATGTCGGCTAACGAGAGCATCTGCAACGGGGATGGAAGGGGAGACGAGAATTGGATAAGAAGGCGGGTTAGCGGAAGCACCTTATCGCAACGCTTGAGGGAACCACGACAGCGGGAAACGGAGAAACTGAGCTATCCCATGGTAAGGAAGCGTTGAGACGACTCATTATCCACTCAAGGCACTTGCTGCGGGACAATCATTAAAGGCTGGTGCAGAAGCGCGGTTACCTTACTCGTTGTGTGCCAGAAGATAGAAGTAGAGAGTATCTGCGCTCAGCGAACGTCGCAACCAAAAAGCTTAAGTCGGCCTGTTCAACGTCGAAGGTCCTAGGGTTGACCTAGTCCCGGAAATGATCGATCGAGCCTAACGAGTCAAGATCGCGAATAATCTGCTGTCGTTCGTCGGGTTAACTGGTCGAAAAGCTGGAAACAAGATGATAAGGCAAATAGAATACTGCTGCACAAGCAATGCTCTGAGACACCAATAGCCTTACTCAGGACAATCACAAAAACACGAGATATATGACTTTTCGAGGGAACGCATCTCCTATGTATAAGTATTCTCAAACTCGACTGGGTTCATGCGGTAAAACGAACGCGTTCCGCCGCCAAATACGCAGGAGTGAAAGAACTAGCACGAGGAGCCGCCTCCGCACAAATACCGCCACATGACGAGAAAAGGCCAGACGTAGATTCATGGGGTCAAAAACTCGGAGATGCGTGATGTGCAAAGCAGGTATGTGTTGCCTGGCTAGGAAACAGACCAGGGAGCATAGCAGAAAGCGGACACGAGATAGCAACCAATTACAGTACCGTACACCGCACAGAATTTTGGCGAGGCATTTCAGGGGCGGGGACGGGTGGAACGCGATCTCCTTGCACGATTCTTGTGCCAGAGCAGCCCAGCAGGTTCTGGGTCAAACTTGGCGGGAATGTCGGAGGGGACGGAAGGCTCGGATTGCGGCCTCGGGAGCGGTTTGGTTGGCAGCCTAGGTGAGGTAGACTGGTTCGGTTTCCTCCGGGTGGCCCGACTGCGCAGAGGTCCCGAGCGAATGGAGGTTCGCGTTTGACCCAACGGACAAAAAGAGAATCGAGGTCTGGTGCTCGTTACACGCATCCGCGGTTGTTATGGTGGACCGCTGTCAGATGGATGTCAGGTATGGCAATGTCGACGGGGCTAGGTTCAGAAGGCTACCTGTCACGTTCGGACGTCAGGAGATGCCTGACAAGCCCAGCAATCCCTTGATTTTCACGGAAACGGCCGAATCGCCGAGCCTCGATGACAACTAGAACCGTAACGAACCATACTAGCCACAACATATGTTCAGGTCAATCGCCAACAACGGGCGGCATCGCGTCCTGGGTTTGTGTTGAGAGGTTGGATTCAAGCTCGAACTCCCCGGCCCCTCCAGAAACAACCTTGTATATTCCAAACTACCTTAAACAGCAGCACTCAAGCCTGAAAATGACATCGACTTTGTGAGGTTAGGGAAGCAACTTTTGTTGGAAACGACAGGGTCACATGGTTTTAGGCGAGGGTTTGGGAGGGGGGGTTTGGGCACTCTGGGGGAGGTGGCAGGGCTCACTTCAAGTAACCTCAGGGTGCTCTCTTTGTGGATGGAGAGTGGAAATCTAAATCCCAAGTTCGAATAGGGAACTGAACACATGTTTGAGGATGGCGCTTGATTTTTGCAAATATCGAGAAAAACCTGACACGAGGGTTGTGTGGAGCAAAGTTGGCAGACAGTTCAGAGACTGTAAGGGAATTACGTTAAGTGGTCCGAAAGGTCACCGAAGTATCTTGTTAACTACCTTTATCTCAGTCGAGGCAGGATGATTATCCTGAGAGTAGGCGACAAAAAGAAAGTGACGCAAAATGGTAACTTGCGGCCAGAAAGATAGAAAACGATGAATAATGAAGTATACATTCAATCCTACGCATATAGGCTACTCACTCCTTTTTATAAGACTTCATGGCATTTTTCCAAGTCCATTAATATGTATCTGGTGAGATCAGCCATCTCAGGTCAAAATAAAAAATGGGAGCTATTTTATTTCTGTTGTTGTGTGACATTCACTACCTGAACCATGGAGCAGAATGGTATTAACAGGCTACCTGGGCATGTATTGAATTGTAAATATAAGGGATCAAGCTATGTCAGAAAAATCCAAAATTTATTTAGCGGATAACCCACTCAAAGGAAGTCACGAATCATTTCCCGCATGAGGTGTTACAATACAAGACACTGAATCACCTGTCTTTATAACCTTTGAACTATTCAACCTGGAAGCTGTACGACAGCCTTATTGTTGCACCCGAATAAAATCCGGCTGACCAGTGGCCGTGAGACACCGGTGCCACATGCGACCGTTAGGATCCACGGGCCGCGCGTGCCTGATAACTTCGGGGATCGGGATATACGCGTAGTGCGAGTTGACCAACCCCACGGTGATGCCGCTGTAGCCGGCGAACGCGCCGTGAACGGCGTTCTGCCCCAGCACTGCGCACATGACGCTGTCCGACGCGTTCGCGCGGCACGCACGGATCATGTACGTCGGATCGATGTACTTCACGTCTGCTGGCCGTCCGATGGACTTGAAATGACGCCGCACCTGGATCATCCAGAATCAGGTCACGAGGGGGGAAGAGGGCGAAAGGAAGAGGTGGCGGGAAGGCAAGAACGTCCCTTGTTAGGTCAATGGGAGATTTAGTGAGAACGAGAATGAGAATGAGAAAGAATGAGGAACAGAAAGGTAATGAAACTGGCAAGGGGAGCAGAAATGAGATTCAGAATGAGAAAGAGGCGCTATCCCAAGCAGCCTCCCCATCCCCACCTGCTTCAAGAGAAAGACCCCAATGTCCGACAGGATTGGATTTCCTGACGCATCCGTGCCGCCCTCCCCTTGCACCAGGTCCTGCATTCACACACATTCAAAAGGATGGAATGCACGCACATTCACATGCTGGGTTCTTTTTCCTTCGCTGGAATTTGCATCGCTGTCAAACAAGGGGAGAAGAAGATTTGTTTGTTTTTTTTTTCCTTCCATCTCACCTGCCCTACACTCTCCTCAGATGATGGTCTGGCCCTGGCGGTCTAGGAACAACGACGACTTCTGAGTTGCCGTAACCGTGTTTTTTTTCCTCAACTGTCAGTATTCACGTCCAACGTCCCCATGAAACCCCTCACCTGGCCTGCGCCCTCGGCGACGCAGATGATGGCGTGGCCCTGGCGGCCCAGGAGATACTCCAAATGCTGCAGCACCCCGTTGGGGCCCTCCAGACAGAACGGCACCTGGGGAGGGGTGAAAGAGGAGACAGGGGGAAAGAGTTGGTACTGCAGCAATTGCAACCTATTGGGCTCCTCCAGGCGGAATGGCATGTGGGGGATTAGAGCGAGGAGGCAGGGCCGGGCCATAGGCAGGAAGGAGTGGCGAGAGGGGATGGAGGAGTGGTGTGCAGGCAGTACGGGAACTCGGTGACCTGAAGAATGGGCTTAGAACCTGATGCTGCTGCAGTACGCTGCAGGAGGGCTTATCCTGGCAGCATGGAGCTTGTATGGGGAGGCTTGTATGGAGCTTGTATGGGGAGGCTTGTATGGAGCTTGTATGAAGAGACAGGAGCATTTGAGTGAGGCGAATGAACGCAGAAGGGGCACGAGCATGCTCAGTGGTGAGACGCCTCGAAGAGCTGAGACAGCAAGGAATGTGGTGAAAGGTGTGACGGGCAGTGGGAGAGGCGAGACCAGCCGTGGATTACAGGTGTGAGATGTCTCGTCTGGAAGGGAAGAACTGTGGGTTGCTGAACAGCAGCAGACTGGGCAAGGGATGTGTGCATGGCAAGGCTTGAAGCTGACACATTGCCCTCCCTCTCTTCCCTCCCTTCCCTCCCTTCCCTAACCCCCCCCACTGCATACCTCGGGGATAAGCGCCATGTCGACCTGCCCACTGGCGAGCGACGAGTGCATGGCAATGAAGCCACTCTGCCGCCCCATCAGCTTCACAATGCCGATGCCCCTGTACGCGCTGGACGCCTGTCACACGGGGGGAGAGAGGACAGGGTGGGCAGGGGGGCGAGGGCGGGCAGGGAGGAGAGGAAAGGCGATGTAGATTCGACTTGGCATCATTGTACCCACATCACATCACATCATCTTCACGATGCCCATGCCCCTGTACACGCTGGATGCCTGCAGCCGTCACACCACGGGCGAAAAGGGAGGGCAGGGAGGGGATGTGACATGAATCTGGCTTGGCTTGGCTTGGCGTCACTCTGCCTATGACCCACCAGCTTCACAATGCCCATAATTCTGTACGGTACGCTTTGGAAGAACAAATGGGGAGGAGTGGTAACAGGTTGCATGTCGTGCAAGCGACCCCATGCCCATCGCCCCATGCCCATGGCCATGGACCTACCCATTCCTTCTCTCACCTCCACACTGGCAGCGTGCAGCGCCCTCTGCACCTTCGCCACAGATTTGTCATACCCAAACATCTGGACCATCCCTGTTCTCACTTTACCCCCTTCAACCCATTCCTGTGTCCACCTTACCTCCCTCCACCCATCTCTGTGCTCGCCTCACCCCCCTGCCCACATTACTTCTCTCACCTCCACATAGGCGGTGTACAGCGCCCTCTGAGCCTCCTCCACGGCAGCCCTTCTTTCCCCCTACCCTCCCACGTCCCCCCCTTTCCACCCCTCCGCATTCCTTCTCCCTCTCACCTCCACATACGCGGCGTGCAGCGCCCTCTGAGCCTCCTCCACAGCCGTGTCGAAGCCAAACGTCTGGTCCAGCAGCAGAATGTCGTTGTCAATGGTCTTGGGCACCCCCACCACCGCCACCTTCATCCCGCGCTTGTAGCACTGTGCAGGGTGGAGTGGGAGATTGTGGGGGGTAGCAGTTGTGTTGTGAGTCGAGTGGTAAGTCAGTTGGCCACCAGAGTGAGTCGAGTGGTAAGTCAGTTGGCCACCAGAGTGGTCCAGCAGCAGTATGTCCTTGTCGATGGTCTTGGGCACCCCCACCACCGCCACCTTCAAGCCCCGCTTATAACACTGTTCGCATTGGTGCAGGGTGTAGGGTAAGGGGGAGAGGGATAGAGAGTAACAGGTGGACTTTTGAGTGGAGTGGCAAGTCACTTGGAAGCCAAACGTCTGGTCCAGCAGCAGAATGTCATTGTCAATGGTCTCTGGTATCCCACCGCCGCCACCTTCATACCGCACTTGTAGCACTGCACACGTTGTAGGTCAGGGGTAAGAGGGTGGGATGGGTAGGAATGGTGTGTGGGTGGGTGGTTTGAACCACGCACCTGCACTGGCTCCTCCTCTCTCCTCCTCTCTTTTCCTCCTCTCTCCTCTCTCTCCTCCTCTCTCCTCCTCTCTCCTCTCTCTTACCTCCTCTTCTTGTCTCTTTCTGCTTGTCTCTCCAATCCCAATTTCCTCGTTCGCCACACTCACCTCCTTGTGAATGGCCAGAGCTCCGGCATGGGTGCCGTTTCCACCAATCACAAACAGCATGTTGATCCCCTCCTTCTGCAGTAAAAAAGGGGGGTTGGGGGCGTGAGGGAAAGGACGAGCACTGGTAGATGGGTAAGGGAGAGAAAAGGCATGGGTGCTAGTGAAGGGCGGTTGCCTAACTCTCCCATGCCATGGAATGGCATGGCATTGTATGAATTGCCATGTAAACCTAGATCACCTTTCCTTGTGCAGTTTACTTGCTTGTGCGTGCCATCCCACTCAACTCAAAACCTGTTGTTCCATCTCTCCCCCATCCCTCCCCCATCCCTCCCCCATCCCTCCCCCATCCCTCCCCCATCCCTCCCCCATCCCTCCCCCATCCCTCCCCCATACCTCCCCCATCCCTCCCCAAACTCTCCACCATATCTCCCGTCATCTCCCCCCATCGCCCCCACCTGAATGGAGTCGACAATGGAACCCCCTCGGTTTAACACCATACCTCCCATACTTCTCCCACCCCTCCGCAGCCCTCCCCCATCCCTCCCCCATCTCCTCCCCATCTCCCCCCATCTCCCCCCATCTCCTTCCCACCTGAATGGAGTCAACGATATCAAGGCTGTTGGAGCCCCCTCGCGACACTCCCAGGAACGACCCGCCCATGAGGTGAATATTGTCCACCACCGCTCGGTTCAGCTGGTGGGCAATGGGAGGGGAGTTAAAAGAGGGGAAGGAAAGGCATGCGTTGAAGGGTAGGCGGTTGCTATCCCTTGCCTCCCCAAGGAACGACCCGCCCATGAGGTGAATGTTGTCCACCACGGCCCGGTTCAGCTGGTGTTGGGGGGGGGGGGGAGAGGGGGGGGAAGAAGAGAGGTGCAGAGCGAGGGGGGGATGATGCTGTGATGGAAGTTGGGGAGTAATTGTTACAGCGCTAGTAGGCTAGCGTGAGAGCACTGACAGTCGTGAACTGTGTTCAAAGACTGGCACTACCTATGTGAGTGAGGCACTGACCGGAATGTGCGAGGCACTGACCGGAATGTGCGAGGCACTGACCGGAATGTGCGAGGCACTGACCGGAATGTGTGAGGCACTGACCGGAATGTGTGAGGCACTGACCGGAATGTGCGAGGCACTGACCGGAATGTGCGAGGCACTGACCGGAATGTGCGAGGCACTGACCGGAATGTGCGAGGCACTGACCGGAATGTGTGAGGCACTGACCGGAATGTGTGAGGCACTGACCGGAATGTGCGAGGCACTGACCGGAATGTGCGAGGCACTGACCGGAATGTGTGAGGCACTGACCGGAATGTGCGAGGCACTGACCGGAATGTGCGAGGCACTGACCGGAATGTGTGAGGCACTGACCGGAATGTGTGAGGCACTGACCGGAATGTGCGAGGCACTGACCGGAATGTGTGAGGCACTGACCGGAATGTGCGAGGCACTGACCGGAATGTGTGAGGCACTGACCGGAATGTGCGAGGCACTGACCGGAATGTGCGAGGCACTGACCGGAATGTGTGAGGCACTGACCGGAATGTGTGAGGCACTGACCGGAATGTGCGAGGCACTGACCGGAATGTGCGAGGCACTGACCGGAATGTGCGAGGCACTGACCGGAATGTGCGAGGCACTGACCGGAATGTGCGAGGCACTGACCGGAATGTGCGAGGCACTGACCGGAACGTGCGAGGCACTGACCGGAATGTGCGAGGCACTGACCGGAACGTGCGAGGCACTGACCGGAATGTGCGAGGCACTGACCGGAATGTGCGAGGCACTGACCGGAATGTGCAGGGAGGAATCGAAGAAGCCCCGAAAGCCATACTTGATACCCCGAATGTCACTCACTCCATACGTGTTAAGTGTCATCACCACCTGTGGGCAGCACAAGGTGTGGAGCGGGGTGGGGTAAGGTGGGGTAAGGTGGGTGAGGTGGGCGAAGAGAGGGGCTTAAAGAATGTCAGATGCCATTCTTGATGCCTCGGATGTTAACGCACCCCATATTTGTTGAGTGTCATCACCACCTGTGGGCAGCACAAGGGGTGTGGCGTGATGGCAGAAGAGAGGGGATGGGGGGAAGGGGAAGTGGAAGGAGGGGGGGGGAGTAGCAAGTATATGGGTTGTGGCATTGTCGACTCGGTGACTGGTCGACATGGTGCTGTGCTGAGAGGTTTACGGTGCAGTGATGTCATCATCCCACCCCCCTCACCCGACGGATGACGTCATTGAGCCCCTCTCACCTGGCGGATGACGTCATTGAGCCCCTCTCACCTGGCGGATGACGTCATTGAGCCCCTCTCACCTGGCGGATGACGTCATTGAGCCCAGGGCAGAGCCCTCCGCACGTCACGACAGCAGCGCGCACGTCCTGTGGCTTGAAGTAGATGCGCGGCCTCGCCCCCGCTCGCACCAGCCTGGGGAGGAGGAGGCGAAGGGAAGGTGAGGGGGAGGGAATAAGGCAAGGACAGCGAGAAGGGATGGCTGGGTCGAAGGCCACCACTGCAGCCAGCAAGCCCTGCAGTGTGAAAAGGTTCACAGCTCCCTCCATACCCCATACCCCCGTACTCCCATGCCTCCATACCCCCAACCTCCATACCCTCGTACCACCAGACTTCCATTACTCCATTCTTCCATACCTTTATCCCTCCATCCCCTCTTCCCTCACTCCCTCCCTACTTTCCGCTCACTCCCTTTCTTCACCACTCCCACTCCTTTCGTCGCTAATCCTCCCGCAAGGCAAACGCACCAGTGCTGCACGAACTGGCAATCCTCCTCCGACGAGGCATCGGCCGTCATGGGGTGTGAGTACTTCACGGTCTGAGGAACGCAGAAAGGGACAGGGGGTGGTGGCGGAAAGGGAGAAGGAGATGCTTTGACTGACTGCGGCTGATCCGCCTCGACAGTTGCCGTCCTCCTCCGATGATGCGTCGGCCGTCATGTGATGTGATGTGATGTACTTCACCGTCTGCATGTGCGGGGGATGGAGAGAGAGGAGAGTAGGCGGCGAGGCGGGAGGAGGATTGGAGGGAGGAGGGGTGAGGAGAGGTGAAGGATGGGTAGGGGTTCACTTTTGAAAGTTCTCTAGCATGGATCCAGGATGGGTGGGAGAAGAGGAGGAAGAATAGAGGTGAAGGGTGGGTAGAGGCGATGCTATTGAGGTGCGTCGAGAACGGGCGGAGAGTGCATTTGAAGAGGCTATGAATGAGGAAGACCAGGTCGTTATAGAGATCTGGTAGCGCTTATTGGAGGTCCCTTGATCGCATGCCAGCACCACTTGGAGCACGTTCTTATCCCACCTTGAGCGCGTATCCGCCGCACCTTGAGCAGCACTTTGTCGTTGTCGTGCACGAAGAGCGATGTGGTGCCCAGCTCGTGCGTGTCGTGGTCCACGAACGACGCGCCTTTATCCAGGGGGAGCAGCGGACAGCTGCGCTCAGGGGGAAGAGGGGAGGATCAGGGGCACGCAAGCGAAGTCTGGTTGGATCGCCAAAACTCAGTTGAGCAGTCTTTCCGCAAAGTAAAACATCCAGTTTAGAGGCTCCTCTCAAGGGCCGACTCGAATCTTCCGGAGATGCGCGCGAACCCCGTATATGCACAAATTAGCAGCGGATCACCATGGGTACACAACTGTTATTATTATCCCAGAAGCAATGGACCAAGTCGCAGCTGATTTTATCAGTCCACCCTTTCAAGGTAGCTTTCTTGTCGTCACAACAGAATTTGACGCGTCGAACAAGAGGTGGCAAGATTTTTTGTGTATGGACCTTGTCTTTGTGCAAAACGTTGAGTAGAACGACGGTGAATCGGGATCAATATCCGTGATGTGTGGCAGCCAGTAGCGAGTCCGCAGCTCCGCTTCTAGCGGGTCCGTGATCTTATCGAGATACTCTTTGAGAGTCGTTCGCGGGGGAATCGTCATCGTCGTATTCTGCGACGCCTCGAGAACCGTGTCGGACGGAGGGATGCGGCTGATCGTCATCGCGACTGTCGCGCGTCGATTTCGCCCACCGTTGCGAAGTTCGCGAGGTTGCAACAGCTTTTGTAAGTGGGCGCTTCTGCCATTGACATCTCCGCCAATCGGCGTTGCTTGCACGACATGAGATTTTGAATGGCAATTGATCGGGAAGGCGAGAGAATGATTGGTAGCTCCAATGCATATCTTCGCCATGGCGTCTTAGTGCTGGCAATTACGAAAGGAGGACCCGTGGCTCGGCGAGAGCTGGCTTTTGTCCAACCTGTGCACAATCTCAGGTAGAGTCTTAGCTTCTAATCGAACAGTTGGGGTGAAGCAATCTAGTAGGTGAGTTGCGCCGAGCAGACACTCACTAAGACGAGTTCACAGAAGGGGGACGGGGGAGATTTGGCAAATGGATAAAAATCTGTAGTTAGGGGAAAAATCACGGCTGAAAGGGATGCGTGGAGGAGAACCTACTCGAGACAAAGCAAATAAATCTGGACGGGATGGATGGGCGGAATGGATTATGCTAGGGTGAAGTTGAGTTGAGGTGGGTTGAGGGGAAGTAGATTGGGTTTGTGTTTGGGACGGATGGGGGGGATGAGGGGCGGTTTGGAGAGTGGGAAAGAGAAATTCACCAATAAGGTGTGTCCAATCTCAAAGGGACGGAGCCGCGTGCGCTTCGTAGTTGTGTGGTCTCGGGTAGCTGAACAATATTTACACGTGTGCATCTGTCTTTCGTCAGAAAGAACCACGCTGCCCAATGATCTCTGCTTTTTCCCAAGTCGGCGCGTGTGAAGTGGAAAAGTATCCAATCACATCCCGAATACTGCCGCAAAATTTGGCCAATGCGACCGAGGCATTTGTGCTAAGAAATTGCTGTAATGTAGCAGCTGTTATGATTTCTCAAGCTAAACCAGACTGAAATATGCTATATATGAAAATTCAACTGCAAGTGAATACAAGCAAGAGCAAGTAGCCACTAGAATCCCATGTCAAGGCACTTCATCTAAAAAAATGTGTACAAGCACACCCCCTTCACTGCCTGCAACAAAAACTGTTGCAGAACAAACCAACTCTTGCTGCAGGCAGTTAAGGGGGTGTGTTAAAATGTTTGAACACATTTGTTACACAAGCTACCGTATTCTGCTAAGGTAGACGGTTCTGTTGCAACCCAAAATCTTGCCTACTGTTGCAATGCAAGGCAATACCGTGCACTATCAGTCAGCATCTTCCTGCATCAGCATGTGATATTTGTGCAGTTCGTCCCACTACATCACGGTCAGGAGGGCAGGGAGCGCAAACATCACTACCATCCAGGTTGCACTGAAACGAGCAGAAGCCTTGGTCGTATTCTGCAAACAAAAGCGAACCACACATACGTATTAGAACAACCAGCCCAAACGAAAGGTATAAGACAAGATAACAATAACTCATGAACACCTTAGGGTACATTCCACTCTGGACATGTCCCAATCTTATATGTCCCAATCGGTTCCACCGCACTGCATCTTATTACACCGAATTACACCCTAGTTTCAAACATTGTCAAAATTTTCGCGTCTCTGGTTTAGTCCGGTTCGGAGCGGTACACCTGATTGGGACATGTCCAGAGCGGAATGTACCCTTATCTCGAACAAAAAGGCATTAGGGTACTCAAGACACATACCACGTCCTTGCCAATGTACAAGGAGAGGTTGTATGAGGCGGCAGCGGCACCAGGGGCAGCAGGGGGGATTATGCTGGCACTGAGAGTCAACGACTCCTTGGCAGGAGCACTCATGGAGAGGGCAGGGAAGGCGGTGGGTGTGACTGTCAGCACTGTGTTGCTGCTGAACGGGGTAGTTGCGAGCGACGCCTGACTGACCAGGGTAATTGGGAAGACTAGCCCCACACCCACAGCCTGGAGTGTTGAGGGGAATAAAAGGGAAATGGCTTGCCGTTGGTCACATGACAAGATCATTACCAGACTACATGGCAAGGCAATGGCTGTGCAGAGATCAGAGATCTCGATGCTGCTTTTGCACAAGCAATTCCTGGCAGGAAGGTTGGGAGTGGTTTCTCCAGTTCCTCACCTTGCTGTTGTTGCCTGCAATGAAGGGCATGGCGTCAAAGGCCCCAGGGAGAGGAGTGGGTCCCTTGGATGGCACCATGATGTACCCGATTCCCTTCATGGCCCTGGTGGGATGCAACCATGCAACGAAACCATGCGCACACACACACAAAGACAGAAACGGAAGTGCAGAGCAAAACGCTGAGTAATGAAACGCATCAATACAGAGCACACAAACCGCAGGGTGAGGACCACAGGAAAAGAAAAACTCACAATGGACCAGATTATATGAGAGAACGTAATGTTGCTCCTCACAGGGGGTCCACGCGGATGGAGGGGAGGCGCATGGTGGAGCCAGCGGACCACAGAGGACTGCTGAATGAATAGGTACTATCTCTACTCACAGGGGGTCCACGCGGATGGAGGGGACGCGCATGGTGGAGCCAGCGGGCTGGCGCACAAACATCTCCGTGAAGAGAAACCCCACCGACGTCCCGCCGCCATTCACCACTGGCGGACTCCCAAACGCCTGCGCCACCGTGACCTCAGCGCCCTCGTCCGTGGAGCAGACGTACCCGCGCAGCTTCCCATTGTCTGTTTCCGTGCATATGCTGCCGATTTGGCTGGCCGTGGCCTCGTCCAGGAAGGAGAAGGTGAGGTAGACGTAGCAGGAGAGGCAGATGTCTGAGCCTGACATGAGATATGCGGGAACGGCCTGATCAGCGGTTACTTTGGTGGTGTTGTCTGCAGGGGGGATGAGAGGGACGTGGGATGGGAAGTGGGGAGAGAGGAGTGTGTGAGTGTGACGGGAATGGTGGGTCCGGAGAAGGCGAGAGGCGAGAAGGGAGGGTATAACTACTTATTGCTGACGCTTGGTTTGGTAGTGTAGTGTTCAAGCCTGTCAACTGCATACGTCAGGACATGACGAAACGTGGGGCGGAAGCATGAAAGCCGCATGAATGCATGCATTCATGCTGGCATGGAGTGTTTACTCGTACATATGGGGTAGCAGGAGGAAGGGCTGAAGGACATGATGATGTGCTTGACGTCCGTGAGAGATGAGAAGCCTGCATGCAGAAAGGCGGCGAATCAGGCAACCAAAAGACGAGGATGAATGGAGGGACAGTTTGGCAAGAAGCGGACTAATGACGAACGCATGGAGAAGGGAAGAAGGGAGAGAGAAAAGATAGAGGGGAAGAGGAGGGATGGGGGTTGGGAGAGGAGGATGGAGTGGAAGCGAAAGGGAGCGTATGTTGAAGAATGCTGTTCGTTGGGTGTGTTCAAGCAGACAGAAAAGCAACTCACTGCGCGGTAAATCAAACCTAAGCCCATAACTGAAGTACGGACAGCTAAGCTGCTGTAATTGGTTCGTGTTGCATGATGGCACTCACTGGACGGCAGAGTGTATTTCTCAACAATGTACTCTTGCTTGGGTGTAACCGACTTGATCCGAGTCGACTCAAAACAAGGCATGATGGCACTCACTGGACGGCAGAGTGTATTTCTCAAAAATGTACTCTTGCTTGGGTGTAACCGACTTGATCCGAGTCGACTCAAAACAAGGCATGATGGCACTCACTGGACGGCAGAGTGTATTTCTCAACAATGTACTCCTGCTTGGGTGTAACCGACTTAATCCAGTCCGGTAGGTTCGCCTGCAGTAGAAACGCGCATCAATGAGGAAGGGAATTTGTAGTAAGAAAGAGACGATCAGACATTTCTGAAAACGAGATTGCTCAATGAGGAGCACTGTCGTACACGTATAGTCTAAAAATAGAAACCAGAAGCGTTGTAAGACAATTGAACGACTCGGGTCTGACACGATCACGACGCAGCACAATTGAACGAACCATCCGACCAAATCCCGTACTGACGAACGAACTTTATGAACGAACAAACGACCGAACGAATCAACGAACGAACCGAAGGAACTAACCTGCACGCGGATCTGATTGCGATTGGGTCCGACATCAACGCGCAAGTAACCTCCGAATAAGTTGGTGGTGAAATTCGCGTTCATGGTGCTCTGAGCCAAACACCTGAAAGACGAAAGGTACTGTCAAGAAAATACAGAGAGTAGGCAAACGAAGGAAGGCGAGAAACTTTGAAAGATCTTAATTGATCCAAAATATCTACCCGGAGGAAAGCAGTGCGGAGGTGGCGATGAGAACGAGGAGAGAAATGCTTGACGGCGACGCGAGCTTCGTCGACGCCATGGCTCCGCACTGACAGAGCTACTAGCAGAACCAGGAAACAGAACAAAAAACTGCTGATGGAAAAATGCTGATCGCTAATTGAAGTACACACACAGCAAACGAGTTTCCTGTGCAAGGAACGAACACAGGATCGCGGACTCCTGATTCATGCATGGGTCATGGCGTACGCTCGCATATAATCCAAGCTGGCTGGTTTGGTTCGGTAAGGTAAGGAGGGGAGAGAGCCCCTAGCTGGTTTGGTTCGGATGCCGTACGTCCTCGCAGGAACCAATCGAGCACGTACGGCGGCACTGTTGCCGTGGGTGGCACTGCCACCCCGTGCGGAAGACGTTTTGTCCCCACATTACTCATAATACAAGAATCGAGTCAACATAGTCGTACAAATGTTCTCGATTAGAGTCCCAGTGAAAAAAAAGCGCGCTGCGGGCCTTTGTGGAAAACTGTTACGGGTGCAATGAATCGAGGTAGCGAGAATTGCACTAAGGTGTCAAACGAGTACAAAATGTGAGCGAAGGCATGAGCGAACATTTATACGCGAAACATGCAAAACGGTAACGCGGTGCGTGCGAGCTTGCTAGTGCTACGCTGGAGCGAGGCTCGGGCTAGTCCCGAAGCGTAGGCCGATACGGCCATGCCAGCAGTGCGAGGTTTGGCAAAACAGTGCGCGCGCGAAGTCGGCGAAGTTCCGTTAGCAGTAACGGGCGAACAATCGGCTGTTGCTGTACGCGATGTAGTCGGCTCCGTAAGGAATGCCGAGAAAATTCCTTACACTACCCCCCCCCTTAAGAAGCCCCCTCCGCTACGCGAGTGCGTGTATATCGCGGAATCCCCGGCTCCTCAGGTACACTTGCAGGGCAGAGTGGTTTTCGATGTTGGGTAGGGGCACCCAGCTGTCTTCAGTTGGCGTGCGGTCCTTCCAGCGAACGAGGAATTCAATCCTCCTGATTCCCGTGGGGTGGCGGATCCGATGGCTCAGGATTTTTTCGGGCTCGATGATCGGCTCCGATGCAGGGCGAGTCATTGATTGTGGGCGGTGACGCGGCAGTTGACTTGTGGTCGGGATGTATGGGCGAAGTAGGCTGACGTGGAACGACGGGCTGATGTACCAGTCGGTTGGCAACAGTAGGTGTGCGGTGACGGATGTGATCATGTGACTGATTTGGAATGGTCCACAGTAGCGCGGTCGTAATTTCGGTACGTCGGGCAGTCGCAGATTTTGCGTGTCGAGCAGCACGTAATCTCCAGATTGGTACGTGACAGGGCGGCGGTGGCGATCAGCGTTGCGCTTAGCGATGACGTTGGCCTTTTTTATTGCTTCGGCGGCTCTGGCGCGGGCAGCTTGCAGGACTTCGGCGAATTGTTGTGCACGTGGCGTTGGGTTGTCCGGACTCGGCGTCATGGGCACTGTGGGGTTTTGCCCATAGTTCAGGTAGAACGGGGACTGCTGCGTCGTGGCTGATGTGGCGTTGTTGTACGCAAACTCGATCAGCGGCAGCTGCTGCTCCCAGGTCGTGGGGTCGTCGCACGTGGCACGAATCAACTGCTCCATCGTCTGATTCGTCCGTTCCGTTTGGCCGTCGGTCTCGGGGTGGTACGACGAACTGAACTGTAGCCTGGTTCCGAACTGCTCCCAGAGGTTCTTCCAGAAGTTGCTGGTAAACTTCGTGTCCCTGTCGCTGATAATTGCTGCTGGTATCCCGTGCAGGCGAACAACGGCTGCGATGAACAGGCGAGCGGTTTCCTCGGCTGAGATCGACTTTTTGCATGCAGCGAAGTGTGCCATCTTCGTCAGCCTATCCACGACGACCATCACCGCGTCGTTACCCCCAGGGTTCGAAGGTAACCCTGTGACGAAGTCCATGGTTACTTGCTGCCAGGCGCGTTCGGGCGGTGGGATCGGCTGCAATTGACCCGCCTTCCGCTTCCTTGAACTCTTCATCACCTGACACGTAGGGCACGAGCCCACGTGCTGCTGTACGTCGGTCAACAGCTCCGGCCAGTAATAGTACCGCTGCAGTTGCTGTCGTGTTTTTTCTACCCCGAAATGTCCCGAGGTAATCCCGTCGTGTGCCTCCTGTAGTAGCAGCTCCCTCAGTAGTGAGTACGCTGGTACCCAAATGCGGTTGGTGCCTGTTTTAACATAATAAACTCCTTTTGCTTCTGCCAGTTGCTGTGAATTCCCGGTCGTGAAGAATGGGTCGATGCGGTATCCGTGGGTGAATAGGCCAGTTAAAAGCGGGTTGGTCTGGGCGAGTAGGATGGCGTGGAGCTGGGCGGTGGGGCGGGTGAGAGCGTCGGCTATGTTGGATGCGCCTTTTTTGTACGTAACGGTGTAGTGAAAATTGGACTCAAGATAGTCCAACCAGCGAATCTGTCGTGGGTTGAGATTCGGTTGGGCGCGAAGGTACTGTAGTGAGCGGTGGTCTGTCCGTACTGTCACGTCGGCGCCAGTCAGGTAACACCGCCAAACTTTGAACGCGTGCACGATCGCCATCATTTCGCGGTCGTGTATCGGGTAGTTGCGTTCGGGCGGGTGTAACTTGCGGGACTCGTACGCGATTGGCTGGAGGCCGTTCCCGAAGTCCTGCAACAGTACTGCTCCCACAGCGATGTCACTTGCGTCGGTGACGAGCTCGAACGGACGGTGGGGATCTGCAATGCGAAGGACGGGCGGGGAGCACAAAATATTTTTGAGGGTCGAGAAGGCAGCTTGCTCTTTCTCCCCCCACGTGTACTCAACCCCCTTCCTCAGCAGGTCAGTCAACGGGGCAGTCAGCTTTGCCATGTCGGGGACGAACCGGCGCATGTAGTTGACGAACCCCAGGAAACTCTGCAACTCGGTCAGGTTGGTCGCCGCGTGCCACGCCTGAATCGTCGCAATTTTCTTCGGGTCTATTTCCACTCCCGCAGCTGAGATAACATGTCCCAAAAACTCCAGGCGGTCCTGTAAAAACTCACACTTAGATGCTTTGGTCAGTAGACGGTTCTCACTTAGGATTTGAAAAACTGCTTCGATGTCTTGTAAGTGTTGTGCTCTTTCAGGGCTGTAAATCAATATGTCGTCCAGATAAACGATGACGCATTTATCTAAAAGCGGGCGAAATGCTTCGTTCATGGTCATTTGGAAGGTGGCGGGGCGTTGGTCAGTCCGAATGGCATGACGGTGTATTCGAAGGATCCGTAGCGTGTTCGGAATGCGGTTTTAGGGCAGTCGGGTGGGTTGACGCGGATTTGGTGGTAGCCTCCCGGGAGGTCAATTTTCGAGAAAACCCGGGCTGTGCGCAGTTGGTCGATCAGTTCGTCGGCTCGCGGGATGGGGTAACGGGATTTGATGGTAACCCTGTTCAGTGCCCTGTAGTCGATGCACATGCGAAAACCCCCGTCCTTTTTCGGTGTGAACAGTATGGGTGCGGCGAAGGGCGACGAACTAGGGCGAATGAATTCCTTCTCGAGCAGGCAATCGAGCTGCTTCCTCAGTTCGTCTAGTTCGGGTTGGGTCAGTCGGAACTGTCGCTGTACTGTTGGCTGTGCCCCCGGTTCCAGTTCTATCCTGTGATCGTGCGGTCGCTGAGGTGGCAGTCCCGTCGGTAGGTCGTCCGGGAAAATGTCACTGTACCGTGTTAACAGTGCCGCCAGATCACCCGGTACGTTGGTCAGCAGTTTCTGTAAATCTCCTCCCTTGTCTGCTGCCTCGGCTTCCCGAATGTCAACCGCGTACACGTCAGCTCCGGCCGCTACAGCGCGTTTCATCGTGATCGCATTGACACGCACCGGCGAAGACCCAGGCGAGCCCCAGCGAGGTAAGGCGGTGTTGTTACCGTTCACTCGCACGGTGCAGTCACCCGTCGTCCAGTCAATTCGCGGATTGTGTCGTCGCAGCCAATCACGCCCGAGTAAAATGTCGGTTCCGTCGAGGGTCGTTGCGAGCATTTCCTGGCTAAACGTGAAGTTACCCCCGCATCGAATCCGAACTCGGTCTACGCGTTCCCGTATTGCCAGCGGCGTGCCGTCTACCAGTCGTGCGTCGATCTCAGGTAAGCATCTGTTCAGTGGCAGTCGCAGTTTCCGTGCTGTAGCAGTGTTAATGAGGCTGTGGCTGGCTCCCCCGTCTACGAAGATTTTAACTAAGTCCGTCCCAATTTTCCCACTGAGCAGTATAGGGCTGTCTACCGTGGTACCCTCCTTATTCGGCCGGGTGTGGTCGATTGCGTGAACCGGCACAATCACTCGGTGAGGGTCGGTTGGGTCGGGCGAGCGGCGTGACCTATCAGTAGGGGGCCCGTCTGCTACTGACTTCCAGCGTTTCCCTGCTGCTTGGTCTGTGTCTGCTGCTCAGCTTCCCCCTTTCCCTTAGCGTTTTCCGGGCATTCGCTCTTGCGATGTCCCGGCCGATTGCACGCAAAGCAGCGCCCTTTGAACGGTGCGGCAGCGGCATTTGCGGCGACGGCGCGTATCGTGGCGCTCTCGTTCGTCCCACGAGGCCGATGTCCCCAGTTGTTGTTTCCGTAGGACCCCGGTCTCGGTCGGCGAAAGAAGTCGAGCTTCTCCGCCATAGCGAGAATCTCCTGAAACTCAGTGACGCCGCGAAGCTGGATTTCCTGAGCGATGTCCTGCTTCAGGCCGCCGATGTAGCGGTCGATGCGCTCGCTCTCATGCATGTAGCCGACCTGTTCGCATAGCGCAAGGAATCCGCTCGTGTAATCCTGGACGGAACCGAGTTGGCGCCAAGTGCGGAGCTTCTGTCGCGCCGAGATCGAAGCCGCAATTGGCTCAAATCGAGCGCGCAAACCTGCGCACCACGCGTCCCACGTGCGATACTGGGG